ATTAAGTCTTATTTTAGTAGCACGAGTGGTAATCGTGATGATTACTAAGGTAGCTTTGTGTTCTTTTGATTTCTAATGAACAAACAGTAATGAAAGAGCCATTAAAAAGAAGATATGTTAATTAATGTAAATTATGAAAATAGACTGGGCTAATATTAAGCAGAACTCATCTCTTTTATAAAGAGGACAAATTGCCCTAGAGTGCTTTCATTTCTTGTTTCTTTCCCACTTATCTATTAGCAAAGTTCTCTTTTGGGCAGATGCCAAGTGATGTGTAAAGATGTGGCAAATGTAAAATTGCTTGGGATTCCATCAAGAAGTAGGAACTTTCTGAGGGATAGTGATAAATAAAACCAGGCAGCTAAAAATGAGCACGAAAAACTGTCCCAACAGGAAATTGAATCAGGCAAATTAGTTCTTCTCTTACCTGGTCATTTAGGATAGATATTTTATAATAAGAAATATTGAATTCATTTTAGTATAAAATCAAATCATTTTATCTCTGCAAGTTTTCCTTAACAGGGAAGGAACTTCCCCTCTGCTCTCTGAAGTTTTAGTCATTGAATTTGTTGAGATAAACTGACAATAGACAAATTAACAGAAGTCAAGGCACACAGGTTACTATGTACATGGGGGCATCACAGAAGGACAAGTACCCACTGGCCCAGTGAGGTTCAGAAGCTTATATACCCTCTTCAAGGGGGAAGGGCAGTTTTAGAGGAAATGATTTTCAGGGGAAGTGAATGGGCCTGGAGACTAAAACTAGGACATAATTTTCCTCTTTTCTTGGCCTGATGTTGGACTTTCAGTCTCTCCTATGATGTGACCTTACTCTTCCTTGGTTGAAAAAATGAACAGAGTAGAGGCAGTTTGTATTATCATTGGCAGGTCTAGTCTGCAGGTAGATAAAGGAACTTCAGAAAAGCCTCTGCCGGCATCTTAAGATTCCCAAGTTCCTTCAATTTAAAACAATCAGCACACCAAGGTGCATATTTTAGTGACACCCTCTGGATGCCTGCATTTCAACTCAGGATTGATCTATTTGTTTATAAATTTACATTTGCAAGTACCTTGTCATGGTGTTGAAGAAGAGCACATCTGTTATCACTAGGCAGAAAAGGAAAGGAGAAAGAAGTGAAAAAAGTTTAAAACATCAAAAAACCAAGGGATGTGTGACCTTAAGCACACTGAGGACAGTCAGACGCTCTGTGACTGCAGTGCTGGTGCAGATATGTTTCCTTGGCCAGAAGCTGTGTTTCCAGAGAAAGGTGTCACCCACTTAGCAGTTGCTATGGAAATATAGATGCCTATGAAGACATATCAAACTATAGAAAGATTGGAAGACCCGTATATCATAAAAACATAACTTCACTCTTATCTTTAGGCTCTCAGGTTGTGGGACACATTTCTTAACTTTGAGAAGATATTGGTGCTGCTGGGCATGGTGGCTTATGCCTGAAATCCCAGCAGCTCAGGAGGCTAAGGCAGCAGGACCGTGAGTTCAAAACCAGCTTCAGCAAAAGCGAGTCGCTATGCAACTCAGTGAGACCCTGTCTGTAAATAAAATACAAAAATAGGGCTGGGAATGTGGCTCCATGGTCAAGTGCCCCTGAGTTCAATCCCTAGTACCAGCCTCCCCTCAAAAAAAAAAAAAAAAAAAAGATTATATTGATGGCACAGCGTCTCACCCTTTTCAATGAGAAAACCCTGCTTCTCTGTAACTGTACCTTTACTGGTTAGTTGGAAATTGTTCAAGTGCTTTCCATTTATTAACTTACAGTAATTTAGTTTTTCTGTTTATGCAGAATTAGAAGCAGAGAAGGATTAAATAATTTACCCTAGAGGATATGGTAGATCTAGACCTGGATGTTGAAGGTCTCACTATAAAGAATGTGATTCCCATCTTGGTCCCATTCGGTATCACAGCATGGGGACATGACCAAAGTTAAAAAAAAAAAAAGACAACATAAATGAAGTGCAGGATAAGTAACAGGGGTTAGCAACTGTACAGATATTCCCTTTGGGAGTACCCCAAGGTAAAAATATGTACTAGAATACAACATTAAACTTGGTTTAAAAAAAGATGATAGGGAACTTTGTCCATGAAAAACACTTTTCTGATCCCCCAAGTCAGATTTTAGCGCTACTGACAGGAGAGCTTTGCTGTGATAAAGTGCAGAGCTTAAAATTTTTTAGAGAAAACTTGACATGAATTTTATATTATACTCATAGGTGAAAGGAAAGAAAGATGCATTCAATCAAAAGTAATGGTGTATGCGGCTTGCCAGACAATCCATTAAAGAGTTCATCCAGCAAGTCTTGAATGATGGGTTTTTTATTTCGTTCCTAATCTTAGCACAAAACATGTTTTATTCACCATTGTATCCTTCTAACATCAAGCAGAGTATCTAGCCTAACAACACTTGTATTTTGAATAAACAGGGCTCTAGTTAGGTTGTGATTATAGAACTCCATTGAATAACTGTGTAAAGGAGATAGTTTATTTTGCTTGGCTTTAATTTTGTCCTCTGTAAAAGAGAGGGCTGTAGGTGTATCATCTTCTTAAGGATCCCACTGGCTTTGAAATCCTGATTCTAAAATCTCAAATAAATGGAAAATTTGTGTTCACAATGCATGTTGTATTTGGTTTTGCTTTTGAAACTTTTGTGCATTAAATCTCAACAGATTATTCTCTGCAGCACAGTGGAGAGTCAACAAGAATTCATTGAATGACTGGAAACAAGAGGATGGCTGCTGCTCAGCCCTGATTTGGACAGTTTACGGTGGGGAATAGACATCACCACCAGCAACATCGGCATTGTCATCTCAAATATGAGCCGAGAGGTGTGCCTTAGGCAGTTTTGGCTTGATTTCCTCCCTGTAATTCTAGAAGTTTATGAGAAAAGTTTTTAGAAATTGTTACTCCCTTGAACTTGTTTCCTCCCTAAAATTCGTGTAATAGATCTTCTACAGCATATTACGATAGTCTTTTGGCAGAACCTTGAGGGAAATGACCAGAGCCCATGTGTTTTCCCCCTTATGCAACAAGTATAATGCACAGTGAGTTTCCTTGTAGAATCTGCTGCACTAGGCGGGCATGACATGCCTGTTTCCAAATTCAGCATGCCAGGAACAGTTTCTTTTTGGCATTCTGCAGGTAAGCACCAAATGCAATGTCATTAATTTAACCTGTATCAAAAACCATTTCATAGCCGGGCCCGGTGGCACATGCCTATAATTCCAGCTGCTTGGGAGGCTGAGACAGGAGGATAGAAAGTTCAAAGCCAGCCTCAGCAAAAGTGAGGTGCTAAGCAACTCAATGAGACCCTGTCTCTATATAAAATACAAAATAGGACTGGAGATTTGGCTTAGTGGTTGAGTGTCCCTAAGTTCAATCCCTGGCACATCCCCACCTCCCCCCAAAATCATTTCATGACAATACCAATAATTCTTTTAGAACATGACATTTTGTCCGAATAGAGCAGTATTTCCCTAAATAATACTTTATAGAAGAATGAAAAAAGAAGTTTTCTGGGTAACAGGTGTCATTAAGAAAACAACGATTGATGAGATGAAATGGACAGGATTCTTGTTTGGGAAATGGCAGGTTAAGGAAACCTAAACAGGTCTATTTTTGGCTGAAAATCCATATGTCAATATGGCATGTGGATTTCTAAGAGACAGGTAGGGATTAGTAAACAGGTTTCCCAAACATGTTTAAGAAACTTGTTTTATCCTGCCAAATATTTTTTTTGGACTTTTTCCTCATGAAACACAATTTGAGAAATGATCTATTTTTGACAATTATGTGGGATGTTTTTCTTGTCAAAAATTTCAGTTTAGGTAAGGCCAAGGCCTTAATAAGTTGAAAACTAGATTGCATATCAAGAGAAAATGGTATTCTACTTGGCTGTTTGGAATTATTATTTTGAATAAAGGTGCATTTTATATAAGCAGTTTCATTATTCACCATAGGGTATTTTTACAATATCTAACACTAATATGCTATTGCTTTGTAAAAATAAATTCATCTTATGATTAAAATAACCAAATGAATAAATTATGCATTATATAGAGTCTTAAATTGCCTAAATGGACAATAGAGGATTTGTTGTGAGAAATATATATTTAGTAATATAACTGGTGACATATACTACATAATAAATATTGTGATAGTTTATTTTTCCAACTTTTCCCAAGTGTGTAGTAAGCATTGAGGAATACACAAATAACTAGTGAATTTGTGAAAATTGACACATTGAGCAGAATCAAAGAGGATGATTATTTTTTGAAGCGGTGATGTTTCTAGAATTCTTCAATGATATATCAACATGTACTAACAGCAACTGCTCATGTTCAATGATGTTTACAATTAATACAATACAATGCTCCCTAATATAAGATTAACAGTCATAATTAACTCAGAATAGATTCTTTGAAGTGGTTCAAAGGGCTTTTCATAATAAATTACCAGCCCCTAATAAGCTAATATAAAGAGGGGATTTTTTTTTTTTTTTAGGTTGTGGAAAGTATGGGAATGTCTCATAAAACGTTTAATTTAGGTTAATGAAATGAGTCTGAATGATCCAGGTTCCCTATATGGAATCAGAGCTGACATTCCAGAGAAAGCTTTATTTAGATGGAGTTGAGGAATCTTTGCGATAATAGGCTTTGGGCTGTGGTATCTTGAGCACCGTTAGCTGAGAAATTTTCCTAGACCCTCTAAGTCCTTTTTAAACTGTTTCATGAATGAATTGAATTAGTGAAAGATAAATTTTCTCTTTTGGATTTCTTCACCAGTTTGAAGAATGTTGTCTTTAAGTTTGTCAGATTGAATTTCGCCTGAGAAAGTGTTCTTTCCTCCTGTGAGGCTGACCCTGGCAGAGCCCGGGGATCCATTCCATTCCCTCACACTCCATTGAGATAAGGAGGGTGAAGTGTGAGCCAGAGATGACGCCTGGCAAGGTCATTCCTGCCCGAGCACCAGAGACACATAGGAGCTCCAGTGTGCTGTGGTTTGTAAAAAAAAAGATGCTACACTAGTGAAGTTTAAAAATATAAATATTTTGACAGGGTAAGAATGAGGGACCCTGTGTTTGAGGCTGGGAAAGAGGAAACTGAAGAGGGAAACACAGAGAAAGAAGAAAATGAAGAAGACAAGGTATGTGAGAGAGCACTTAATGCACCCAAGAACGAATTTGTTCCTGTAATGGATGAGGACAAAATGTTACCCCAACCTTTTTTTTTTTTTTTTTTTTTTTTCTGAACAGATATTCCCGAAGCCTGTTATTGAAGACCTAAGCATGGAATTGGCCAGAAAATGCACTGAACTCATTAGTGATGTAAGTGGCTCCGGTGACTTCTGTGTGACTTTGCATTGCAGGTGTGGAACAGTTATGTCATAATAGAACTGGGGAGAAAACCCTGACATCATTAGGTAACATACAGTTATTTTCCAGGCCCAGGGAACTAAGTCCAGAAATTTTAAGTGATTTCCCCAAGGTCACCTTTACACAGAATTTCTGCTGGAACAAGTTTCCCCATTTATGATCCAGAATCCTGTCTCTCATGAATTTTGCTCTCTTTCTGCCATGAACTCATAAGGCCTTGGGTTGCAAAGCATATTCCATTTGAGAACCCCAAAGACTAAAATTAATATAACGAGGTAATTTGGCTTGGAGGCTTTCTAGCTAAATCATTGTTAATATTTTTGAGGGCCTTTTGAAGAATCTGATGAATGCAATCATTTTTCAAACCAAGAAAAGGCATATACCTATATGCATATAACATCCATTTACAATTCAGGATTTATAAACTGCATATTGAAAATCCTGATTTAGATGATGATATTACTGAAAAGGAGCATTTTTTTTTCAGTAAATGGGATTAGTTGCTATTACATTTCAAGGGAATCCTGAAATTATTTGAAATGCACATACATACCTATTTAGTAAATCTGCAAACTAGAATTCTAGAAACACAAGGAAAAAATTAGTCACTAGGGATGAAAATCCAGCTGATCCTCATAAACAGATGTGAGAATTGCTGGTATAAAGGAAATTTGGTTCCTGTAAACACATGCCTGTGTCTTCATTTAGAGAGATGAAGACAGTACTGGTTATTTCTATTGTTGGTAATGAGCAGAGTGAGGAGAATATTCGAAAAGTGTGTTCAAAGGAAATTCATCGTGGGCAGTGGGGTACCATGCAGCAGGTCCTCTGAATCAATCTGCCTGAATCCACTCAATAGTAACCTTGGGAAGGTTATTAACCTGGTGCAGCTCAGTTTCTGAACTGTAATATTTATAATAGTAAGATTAAATGCTGAGCATACTCTTTGAACATGAGTGTACTCAATAAATATTAGCTGTTATTAAATATCCCAACTGGAACTTACCTTTGCATCCATCCATCCAATTGTATTTTATATTTGACTCTTCATTTCATTCTGATTTGTCAGAGCCAAAGAGTGGTGGTATGAATCATACCCTTTCCATATACTCGACATGGGATTTAATTAAATTTTAAATAAAGTATTTCTTTGTATTATTACTTAATAGTAATAAGCTACTTATGTATATGAACGTTCTTCGTAAATTGAAATAATAATGGAATGACATTGACAGTTAGGATTTATTGAGTACTCTGAGCCAGGCATTGCAGCTTGTGAGATAGATCCTTCTGTTTTTCCATTTTAGAAGCAAGGAGACAGAGGCACAGAAGTTAAGTAACTTGCTGGATCACATAGTTAAGACTGAGAGTTGAACACAAAGCCCTCTTCTTTTCTCTGCTGTGTTATCTCTCACTGTAAATTTCCATGCAAAGTTTATCTTAGCTTTATCATTACTTATGATACTAATATTAGCAGTAGTAAGGCTGTCATTTGAAACTGCAAATTCCTAACTCTGGAGATAGTTCCTCTTCCAGCTTTGATGTTTTTGTAGAAGTGTAATTATTATGGCTTCCATTGTAATAGTTTCAATACGCTATTAGGATTGAAGTAGTAACTTTAATTAGTAGACAATTTGTCAGAGTTATTTTGAATCAGATCACTTATCAGTGACTTTAAAACCAACCTCTAGTGAGGCTTGATAGCCTTTATCATTTTGCAAAGGTCATGTTATTTTGTTCCCCTTTACGTGAAATCAAACATATGGAAGTAGTTTCTATTTATCATAGATTTATGTTACTTGACAGACATCTGTACTACTTAAATATTTAGAACACGAGATTTTGGTTTAATTTATATCTGTGTACATGTTCATATGTTGTTTGCAAATAGAATTCTATACCTATCAAGATACCCCATTTTTAGAATTTTTATATTATTGGGGAACCTGAAAAAAATAATCTTTTTGTCTCTTCACCAAAAAAATAAAACAAAACAAAACAAACAATAACAACAACAACAAACTCCCACACACAAAATGAAAGGAGGAATTTGTATAGTCTTTTTAGGAATGAATTTTAATTCTTCCTTGAAGGACTTGGCATATTGGATTCCATTAAACTTTCAGCTTTTGAGCCATTTGGTTAAATCTATCATTAAGTAATAACTTTCTTATATATTCTCAGTGTCATCAGTGTTTTAGTTGGGAACAGATGAACTTAAACTTGAAATTCTTGTCTCTTGTCCCTGTGACTACAGAATTATCTAAATGCACCAATGAAGCTGGAACAGAAAAAAATTGAGGCCTTGCGGCAGTTAGACTGGAGTTTTAGTCGAGCCTGTATTGGATTTCTCATTATGCCATCTGTTGGTGTCCTGCGTTTAATTTAGTGGATGAGTTCTGCACCCCCACCCCAACCTCCCCACTTCTGGTTTCAAATTTAAACACACACCTTCCAATGTCTTGGTTTTGTTTTATAATCCATCATGTCTCAGAGGGGCCACCAGCTAGCAGCTTCACAAGCCTCCCATCAAGCCTCTTAGCCCAGGAGCTCCCTGAGATTTGACATAAGGTCTGACTGAACCCCAAGCCTTGGCCATCAGATGTCCTTCCTCCCCTGCTATGAGCCAGGCACTCCAGGTGCATTTTAAAATTGTGTGCCAAGCCTGTGCCCTAGGTTTCATAAGCTTCAGTTTACTGGTGTGAAACCCCAGGTTGAATGGCTTAGCCAAGGCCACCTGGTGAGGCTGGGGTGAGGACATGTCCAGAGCCTGGGAAGTGGTTGCATTCCTCTGTGCCTCCTTTGTCAGATGAGAAGGGTGGTTTTATGGGTTTCTCTCCAGAGAGCTGCCTCTCCACATGCCCTCCGCTGTTCTGATCATCCCTGTGTCTTTGTCAGGGTATGGTGACCAGAGCTGCGCACAGCACTCGGCTGTGGGTGACCCGTGGTTGTGTTGGAGTGGGCCCCTGCTTTGTTTCGCTCCCAGCACCCTTGGTGAGGCTGTTGAGAATTTCTTGGACTTGTTGGGGGTCCAGACAGAAAGCTGCCAGACCTATCTCTGTGGTGTGTCAGAGCCATTTCCATTTCTAATTTCTGACGTGTGGCTGACAGCTTAGGGCCCATCATCTTTTGATAGTAGTTGAAATTCTTTTTACCTTGCCAGGGCTGGATCTAATCTGTGCCTTCCTGCTTCCCCTCCTGGTCCTTTGAGAGCTTCTGGGCTCATGGCTTTCTGCTTGCCATTTCACTCTCCGCCAGAGCTGGGCTCATCAGCGGACCTGGGGACCTTGCTGTGTCATCTCTTGCATGCCAGACAGTTTATACAAATGTTAAGTGAGATGGGCCTGGAGATCAGTCCTGGGAGGCCTGCGCTGTTTAGAATCCTCCTCTGAGAGAAAATGTCAGTTTTTCAGGTCAAGTGGCTTCACTTTGGGGATCAGCATAGGCATTTTTCATGCTTTTTTTTTTTTTTTTAATCCTTTTTTCCTTTCTTTTGCCCCACTTAGTTTCTGAATTGCATCTGCTCTACCCACATTAGGGGCTTTCCTTTTGTGTATCTCACTTCCCAATTCTGAAGGACACCTAGTTCTCAGAGGTGACCTCTTTATTTAACCCTTTATTTCCCCAAGTAGGCATTCTCTGTTAGTCCTGTTTGTCAAATTCTTAATTATTTCCTGACATGAATTAAACCTACCCATTCTATTGAGCGTCCAGAATTATAGCTCTATTCGCCTTCTGATAGGTGACCATAAAAAATATTGGGCAGAGGGGAAGCTTCTGTATGTTTTGTGTAAACAAGGCATAAAAAACCTTCTGCGGAAAAAGTTGGGCCGCATCTGCCTGCAGCCTCTGACTCGCTGTTTGTGGTTCAAAGCTTCAGGTGGTGAGAACATCTTCCAGGCAAACAAACACCATTTATTGCAGATAAATCCTCCCAGTGCTAAAAGTGTTAAATTCTGTGGTTACCCCTCCAGAAAAAGCCTGGACCCTGTAAAGAAACTTGGGAGAGAGACCTTGACAATGACGTGCCCAGTTAACAAATAACGCTGGAGCCAAGTTTCTTTCTTCCAGGCTTTACTGGATTAAATTGGTATGATTTCATTTGTGAAAAGACTTTCTAGATACTACCAGTTAAGAATATTTATAAGAAGAAATATCCTCAAACCTTTCCATATCTGTCATCCAATTTCATCCATTAGCTAATTTCATACTCTCTGGAAGAAACTTGACCAGGAGAAGGAAACAATGCTGAACTAATTTAATTGTAATTGAGACATCCTGGTGGGGATAGTGGGTGGGTTCAAAGGAGAAAATAAATGTTTGGGGCATCTTATTGATTATAAAGTCATCAACTTTGACCCCTTGCTATTTTTACTTTGAAAATATGTTGGGCTGTGTATAGTTTATAAGTGCAGATGGCTCTAACAGGAAAACCCAAATACAGTGACCAGTGATTTAAATGGGTGTTTTGGTTTTTTTTTTTTCCCCCTCTTTATACACAAAGCCTGGATGAAGGGAGGTGGGTCAGTCTTAGAAAGGTGGATGCTCTCCTCCCAGGCACCTTTGTTTCTGCCCTCTCACGGTTATTATGGTGGCTTCATGCCTGGTGTTGATATTACTGCTGCTGCCCATTCTGGTATAGCAAGGCTATTAATACATGACATTCTTTATTTGTCCGAATCGCACACAGAGATGGTGCGCACACAGAGATTCATCAGAAATCCTACACAGTCCTGGGTGTGTGAATGCTAATGGCCTTATGATCTGAACAATGGAAATGATCTTGTTTTTAAATGCAACTTCAATTCAGAGATGCAAATGTAGGTATCTTTTTAGTAAAGACCAAAGAGAGTTAATGGAGTCCTCAATTAAGACTGAACTATTTGCCTGCCTAGTAAAAGAAGTAAATCCTTCACTCTTATCCAGCACTCCTATCCAGAACATTCTGTGTATGTCAGACTTTATCAGGAGGCCTGTAGCCGTAAGCACATACCGCTGTGGAGAAGAATGCGAATGTGATGGGGAAAAGATGTGGCAAAAGATAAAAATAATGAGTCAAACTTAAGCCTAATGATAGGCTATTTTTTTCTCACACTTAATTATATAACAGAGATACTTTTTTTTCCTCTGTATGATCAAAATAGCCTACTATTTATCATACTGCCATTAACGATTTAATTACTAGTGACTGAGGAGGGCGATTTGCAGGAACCTAAAATTATGGCTAATCTCTGAGAAGAAAAAAAGTAATTTAGTGCTCAGATAAGATAAATATGTTCTCATGTTGATTTCATGAATAAAGCCAGTGTTTAATGTGGGAGGCATTAATATCTAAGAGCCGCAGCAGTGGAATAGGGGAATTTTGAAATAACTTTACTTAATATGTTTGTATCTGGTTATACCTCAGGTCAAGTAATGCCCCTCAAATCAGGTTTGCATATGGCAAAATCTCCAGGGAATGTTAGCATGTAACATCAATATTAATCACGTCCTCTAAGAACCAGGTAGTATATACAATTAAACGTCACTTTGGGGTTATAATTAGGAAGACCATATAATTTATTGTCTGACTTGGGACAGTTTTTCCAGCCTGAGTATTTACAGTCTTGGGTAGATAAACATGACTTTATTATAGGGAGACATAACTTTCAACAAATTGCCTCCAATCTCTTGACGTGGTTTTGCCTCCCCAGTTTTCAGTTTGTGCACCAATTAGCATAACAGTGAGATGACAGTTGAGGTCCTTGAAGTTCCTGACTTCTTTGGGCTTTTGTGTCCATGGCCTCTCCCCAAGGAGAAGGGAGTGGTTCATTTTGCTGGTGAATCTGAGTGAAGAAATGAACATGTTCAGCTAAACCTTTGGGGGCTTTCTTTGGCTGATCTGCCTGCCCCTGGCCAGGGGGCATTCTAGAATAATCTCTAGGACCTGGGCAGATTCTGCTCTTGTTGTGGGGAGGGAAGACGGATGAGGAGGTAAAGGGTGCTAATAAATCAGAAAAGTTTTATGGGTTGGAGGATTAATTAATAAACAGAAGCCCATTATGCCTATAGTGGAAGCTCCAGTCCTTCCATCCAGCCTGTATGGGTGACATTGCTAGTAATAACCTCCATTTGTTTAATTTCTGCCTCTTTCTTCTTAATGTATTATGTCTGTTCTAAAGACTGCTTGTCTTGATATAGACCAATGTTTCTGTTTGAACATAGACTTACCTTAAAAATCACAACTACACTAAAGGAATAGTCAATCCAAAGGAGAAACGAATTCAAATTAAAAACTAGAAATAAACCTAAATGACTGGGAACAAACACACACAAAAAATCACAACAAACTAGGACACTTGTGGCAGTGAAATGGACCTTTTGATAATTATGCTGGGGAAGCGGGACCCATCCTCTGTGGCCCAATCTTCTTAGTGTTGCTCCTTAATGGTAACTGTGCCCTTGCTCATTGGAGGTAACAGTCTTTTCTCACCCTGCCTCATGGCTTTGCAGTTCTGGGTTGGATCTTCATTTATTCAATTTGGCTTATCTTGAGGATCGTTCCACACTTGAATATTTACTTCAGAAAATGGAATTTATCACCTTCATTTTCTGTTCAAAAAAGGTCACTACAATTGTTTTTCTTCTTTCTCATGCACATGATTCTCTTTTTAAATTTAGATCCATTATAAAGAAGAGTATAAAAAATCTAAGGACAAATGTACATTTGTGCCTGACACTCCCATGCTTACCCATGTTAAAAATATTGGCGCTTTTATTTCAGAGGTAAGTTCTTAAAAACTTTCAAAATGGCTCGTGTTTTTTCTATTTATTTAGATAAAAAGTCTGTATGTCTGCATTAAAGTTGGAAAATATTTTTGAAAGCATCACTGAATGTTGGTAATATCTAGATTATTATTTAATTCTATAAACAATATTAATGTTAACTTATGAATTGAGATATTTTGCTATATTTGCTCAATACATTTTATTATATACTCTATGTCTATATTTTGACTCCAACCTTTGAAAAGGAATACTTTCATTCAATAAATAGAAAAAATTAGGAAAATAATTTATTCTTAAAATTTCAAACTATTGATGTATTAGAGATTAACAGTTGAATATTATTTTGGAAATAAGTACATCTTATTACATGTTTCCATAAGCCATAGTATCTCTGACAAGTAAATTTAACTTAAGCAATTTTTGAGTGGGATAAAATTGAGTTCAACAGAAATTTCTATTCTGAAACCACAGAGTGAGAACTATGCTATATGCATTTTCCAGCTGAAAAATTGTGTAGTTTTTCTGAGAGCATTTAGAACTACAGTTAATCTTGCACTGTAAAGCACAGTGTTGACAATCATTTCTCTATTGAGGCATTGCTGTACTCTGCACATAGATAAACTTGAGGAGAGCGGGTAAGATGGTGTTGTAAATGACTGACCTCTAGTGTTCCGAAAGTTACATTGGAAAAAGATCAACGTGCGGTTCTTAGTATATGATCTGCTAACCTGAAATGATTTTGAGAAAAATCAGCACGTTTTCTTTTATTATTACCAACATCTAGAATTGTGGAGACAAAAAGCTCAGATGACAACAGATGCTCCATAAATCAACATCCAAATCAGGCTCGCAAGGACTCACCCACAGAACACAGTTTTGTTTATTTATATCAGCTGTGTTATTTCTCCTGGGCAGAGAAATTCTTGGTGTTCTCAACTTGTGTTTGATTGATTTTCCTGAAGGAGTTAACTGCAGAGCAAAAAAATTGCAAGTGGGTGATCTATTGTGTTCCCTTGAACCTAATTTTCCCAAGAGCAAGTGGTGAATGAGTGTTTGTCTTTTCCAGTAATGATTGAGCTCCCTCAGAGCCAACGCAGGCTGGGGGTGGGAAGGTGCATGAGCAGACAGGCCCCCTCCCACCCCTGCCCACTGTGGCTCCCCAGGGGGGCCTAGAACAAAAGGGTGCCTGAAAAAATAATAATTATTATCTTAATCGTACGAATTTGTAGGATATGCAGTGTGATCATTTGATACATGCATAACGTGGGTAAGGATCAAATCAGGGTCATTAACCATCTTCTTAAACATTAGTTTTTTTATTGATTTGTAATAATTTACCATATTTATGGGGTACAGTGTGATGTTTCAATACACGTACACAAGATGTGCTGATCAAATCAGGTTAATTGACCTTTCCATTTCTTTTTCGTTACTTTGCATTTGAATCCTTCAAACTCTTCTAGGCTTCACTACAATATATATAATAGGTTCCATAAGCTAGTCACCCCGTGGTGCTGTGGAACGAGAGCTTGTTGTTGTTGTTTTTTCTTTTCTAGTTATGCATGATAGTGGAATGTATTGACATATTATACATACATGGAATATAACTTCGTATTCTCTGTTTGTACATGATATAGATATTGTATATGCATATAGGAGAGTAATGTCCCATTCATTCTACTGTCTTTCCTATTCCCATTCCCCCTCCCTTCCCTTCATTCCCTTTTGTCTAATCCAAAGTCCTTCGATTCTTCCCTGTCTACCTCATTATTGTGAATTAGAGAAATACTAAAAGTATCTGAGAAATACTTCTAGCTAATTGTGCTTTGGTGCCTGCTACCCAGCCGACCAGCCTATCCCCATTCCCCCTTCCCAGCCTCTAGTAATCACTATTCTTCATCGTTGGGAACCTGACAGTAAGTTTTAAAGATTTATATTTTCTGGAACAGCTCAAATGTCTCATGGTTCTCAGATTGCTTCCTCACTGTTCAAACATATGAACCTGACAATACACACAAGTAGATTTATTTTTTAGAAATGTGCATGGGTTTCACTAAAAGAAAAGTTTCAACATTCTTGCATATACTACTTAAAGCTTTCTCCATCACAAATTGGAAGCCTTTCTCTCTTCAGAGTACATTTATCAGATCTGCTATTTAAATTTCAAACGAAGGTTTAATTTAAAATTGTTGAATCAGTGAGGTTTCTACAGAAAATTTTCTTCTGTTATTCACAGTAAAAATTTCAAAAAAAAATTTTAAAAGGGAGGGGKATTTTCATTTTCTTTTTATTTCCTCTAGGCAAAATACAGAGGCAAGGTGAAGGTCAACCTTTCCAACTCTCTTTATAAGCAGATGCCTGCCACCATCGACAGTGTCTTTGCAAGAGAAGTTTCCCAGCTTCAGAGTGAGGTGTGTTTTCAAATTGGTATACAGTGAGGTAGATCAAAGATATAATCTCTTTAAAGTTATTTAACATTTTAGGAAGAGTTGTTTACTCTGGGTATTAGACACTGAATGGAAACAGCTGGATTATATGCTCTCTGTAGCCAAGTGGCAGAGGGTAAAAGGGACATGCAAGTTTAAATGCATGCTGTTTTTTTGAGTCCCATTCGTTGCTCTTTGTAGAGCCTATTTTAATCTAATTCTGACAGTTTACAAAACTGAAATAATTCTGGTTTGTTGTGTAATGCTGGGGATTGAACTTAAGACCTCATGCATTCTAGGCAAGACATCTCCCCGCACCCTCCCCCACCCGCAACTTTTTAAAAATTTTGAAACTGGGTCTTGTTAAATTGTCCAGGCTGGCCTCAAACTTGCCATCCTCCTGCCTCAGCCTCCCAAGCAGCTGGGATTACAGATGTGTGCCTCCATGCCATTTTAAAGATGAAATTCTTATAGCACCTGTTGAATGATTCTTATTTAACAATATGATCCCTAAGTAGAGAACATATCAAGAGCTCGTTAAAAGTCACATAAAGAGATAACAATTGAACTTGAAACCCACAGTTCCATGCTCCATCTGTTAGACAACTGGTTTTTGAATTTCCTGATCTGTGGCTGGTGCTTTTCATTTAGGATAACTGAGGCTACCAGCAAGAGCCTCCATCAGGTGAAAGTGGCTATTTTAGTGATTCCAGGTTGCAGACAAACTTAAGAACCATCATCATGTAAACTCATTTTGAATCCACAGGAGTGTAGGGGTAATTTTTTTTATCAAGGGACCTTGATACATAAGGCATTTTAAAGTGCATTTAATCTCTTGCATTTCTTAAAACAGAATTTTATAGTAGAATTCTTTGCTGTTTTCTGATTCATTGTTTGGTTTTTCTTCATGGTTCAATCTGAGTTTTTTAAAAATATTTATTTATTTTTATTTAATCTGTTACTTGGCTAATTTACATGAGAGCAGGGACCCTTATCTGTCCTGTTTCCCTGCTCTACTCCTGTGATTGGAAGCTTCCTGGGCACATAGGAACTCTTCAGTACTGTTGGATTTATGGGCTTTCTTCTAAAGGATACACTTCCTTTTGCATAGTTGGTGTTCTTCATGCCTCAGTGTAGATTAGTAATAATGGAAGCAAGTAGAAGTATTAACGATATGTCAGGTGCTATTTCATGCATTTCAAATGTATTTATGTCATTTAATCCTCACAACAACCCCAGGAAGTATTCTTATTTTAGAGAGATGGAGACCAGAGCACAGAGAGTTTAAGTAACATGCCAAAGGTCACACAGCCAGTAAACAGTAGAGCCAGCATACAAGCATGGGTAGTCTGGCTCCAGAGTCTGCATTCTTAACCACACAGTATCCCACATTTTTCCTACTATTTTCTCTCTCTCTCTCTCTCTCTCTCTCTCTCTCTCTCTCTTTTTATTACATGAATTCCTTCTCTAGAATTATTTTACTTTTAAATAGAGGATACCATGGTAATTATATAACAGTCTGAAAATCAATTTTGATTTTAAAATAGTCTTGAAAAATTCTAAGGATTGCTACCCTTTGCAGAACATCTTTAAATACTTCATTACTACAAATGTAAACATCCTTTGTGAACTCAACTTGGCAGTAAGCTAACAGCTGAGATTAGCTGAGATTTAGCTAAGCTAAAAATATATGATATCAAGGCTCTGCATGACTGACCATGACCAATATATCCTTTGTTTTTCCTGCCAACATCTGGTCACCTGGCTACTTGCTGATAACATGGGCTATTTTATAAAGCACATAATTACAACACTTGATATAAGACAAGCAATAATCATTCATTAAAAAAAGAAAAATTTTTAAAGTCTATTTTTATATTTTTGTGGGAAACTAACATTGTCAGATATTTGCATATTTTCTCACTCTTTTCTTTTCTTTTTTTTTTTTTTTTGTTTTTGTACTGGGAATTAGACCTAGAAAGGTAAGCATGCAAAGTCAAGGGGTCTACCACTGAGCTACATTTCAAGCCCTTTTTATTTTGTTTTGAGACAGAGTCTCACTAAGTTGCCCAGGCTGGCCTGGAACTTGCAATCCTCTGGCCTCACCACACCTTTCCCTGTAGCTTGAATGACAGTTGTGTGCCACTGCACCTGACTCTGGCCTCAATTTTTAGTAGCATAAATAGGTATATAGAATGTAAATACTTGCAATGTGAAATTTAACACGAAAAAATAATCCAACTAATCCATTATGTATATTTTGGGTCTATTGTATTGCTTTTGATGGAATAGGATATCATGTACATTGTTACCATGTATGAATGCACTTTTTTTTTTTTTTTTTTTTTTGGTACCAGGGGTGCTTAACCACTGATCCACATCCCTAGCCTTCTAAGGTGTTCTTGTAGGTATTTGATCACAAACAGCAAACACACTCGCTGGCTTTCTTTCTTTCTTTTTTTTTTTTTAACTCTACATTGAACTTAAGCATTAGAAAGACTATTTGAATTGTTTATAATAGTTCAATAATTTGTAGATAATAGTTTGTCAAGAATTTTTATTACAACTCAGAATGCCATTAAAGTTTAGAATTCGTCTATTATTCTAAATTAAGTTACCACAACTCTGAAACTTTTTGGGCACAGTAAAAGGATAGTTGTTTAATTATCACAGGCTCTTGCAAATAGTTTTTCTACTTTCTTACATCTTATTGCCAGGTAAACTTGCTCAGTTGGTAGAGTGCTTGCCTTGCATGCACAAGGTCCTGGGTTCAATTCCCAGCACTACCAAAAAAAAAAAAAAAAAAAAATTAGAGGAGGAAAAGTTTATTTTCACTCAGAGAATGGTTGATCACTCCATTGCTCTGGGCTGAAGTGAGGCAGATCATCATGGCAAAAGGAATCTGTTGTCTCATGGTATCCAGGAAACAGAGAGAGCAAGTGGGAGGAGCCAGGGGCAACATAGGATTCCCTAGAGAGCACACCCTCAGTGACCTACTTCCTCAAGTTACACGCCCACCTGCCTATAGTTATCTATTCAAATTATTGATTCTTCAAATGGGTCGATCCACCCTGGAAGCTCCCATCATATTTGACTTTGAACATTCCTGTATGAACTGACACATGAGCTTTTCAGGGGACACTTCATATCCAGACCATAACAGTTAAATTTATGCTTCCTTTAGAAAATGACTGATAGGAAGAAACACCTTTAAAACAGAAAGTTGTGGGGTTGGGGCTCTAGCTCAGTGGCAGAATGCTTGCCTAGCTTATGTGAGGCACTTGGTTTGATCCTCAGCACCACATCAAAATAGACAAAATAAAGGCATCCGTCTATCTACAACTACAAAAAGAAAAAAAATTAAAATGAAAGTTGTGAAGTTTCCAGGAGACCATTTTATTAGCTGCTCTCTATTAGAAAAAATTATAATCAAAGATCCCAAAGGAACCTGGCAATGGAATGGACTGTGACTTGAAGTGATGGAATCCTTCTTAGCAAGGCTATTTCAGGAAAAGGCTAAATAATTCCTTATCACAGAAACAATGCAGGCCTTTCAGTCATCCTAACTGAGCAGTTTTATGGGAATCCATTGTTTTTATCAGTAGTATTTATGAGGCCCTGTTTTAGGAGTTCAGAGGTGTCTGATATGGGATTAAAGGCACATTTACCTATATAGTACTTACAAAGTGTATTAGAAGTTAAACATATATACATCATATATACACACATGTATATGTGAGATGTAAAATCTAGGAGATAAAATATATGATAAATATATACACTGCTTACATAAACATTTATATAAAGTATGTATGACTATTGCAGGTTCCCATCATTCTTTGAGTGTCTAGTGCCATAGCAATCTGGAGTTCTCAAAGCATGAAGAAAACAGTTATAATGTAGGGAAATACCACATAATAATGGCAGATTCTAAGAAAATCAAATTTATCAGAGAATTTATTAGCTTGACATAAGTTTCCATTAGCTATTTTAAGGAAGAAAATTAATACGATAAATTAAAGTTCCGCTGCCTCCAGTTTGATGCGATCTTAATTCTAAAGTGGTTCTTAGTGGCATCTATAAATGAAATGACTATTTTAAAGCTGCAAGTAGAAAATTACGTAGGCTTTTTAAGAAAGAGTGCTTTTTAAAATTGTGCTTGATGAGTCACCATCTCTATGATCACTCACAAAATGATTAGCTGCATTGGTCTTGGTTATCAAGTCACCAACATGACCATCAGTCTAAAATACAGAATATACCAGCCATCCTTCAAAAAGGAGATTGTATATGTTAGCTCTTCTTATTTAAGAAGAAGAAACAAATCTCAACAGAAGTTTTTCCTTGTCTTTTAGACTTGACCATCCATTAAACTACCCCCGCTTCCGGTCCTCAGGGTTCTAATGTAATATGTAATGGAACTGAGATAAGGGACTCTCTCACCCTGCGCGGGGGTCCTTAAGAGGTTTCCTGTTTAACATAAGTAATTGATGAAAATGTAAAGATAGATTCATCAGAATTAGATATCTTGATGGAGTAAATTGATGGACAGACTGTAACAAGATGTATTATACCTGGAACAACATAGGGGCTGCATTTGAGTCCTGGTAATCAACCAAACACACAGGACTGGATGTGGGAAGCCAGCTGAATAAGACTTAAGTGCATTAATTGACAGGAATATCAACTTAGCTGTGGAAAGGAAATTGTCATGACATGTGAATGCATTAATAGCATTTAGCAAGTGGAGGAGGATAACCTGGATTAAATTGAGTAACTCTAAATAGGATTAAGTCAGGCTGTTGTGGGAATGGGGTGGATAAATTGGGATTTGGATTCAAGAGGGCTTCTTGGATGATCAGGGGTTCAACCCTTTAATCCAAGCAGCCTGTCTGGAAGGGGCAGAAGTCAGTGATGGCTGGTTGTCTGTCTTCCCACTGGAAATTCCGTGTTGTGAACTAGGCCTTTTCTCTGTGACTGGATACATCCAACTCTGGACAGATAGATGGGGTTTGATCAAAATAAGAAGTTTCAATCATAGCTTTCAAAATTCAGAGACTGTGATGTCCTAGGTTGAATTCCTTTTCAGTAAACATTTTTAAAGAAAAACAAGGTGGGGAGCCAGAGAGGAGATTTAAACATTGGAAATTGGAATAGATGGCTTTTTTTTTTGAGGGGGGAAGGGAGGGTGGAACTATTCAATGATTTTATTTGTAAAACTTAGTTTTCAAATATTAACTTTAATCCTTTAAATAGGTATATTATCTAAGTTAAATGGATGTTTAATTCTGTTTATGAAAGCCCACGAGGGGTGTAGGTTTATGAGAATGTTGAATAAACTCATTTATTCATCCATTCACTATACATTTATTACATTTCTACTCTGTGTCATTCACTGTGATAGGCACAGGATATTAAAAGATGTGTAAGATATAGACCCACTTCTCAAGGAGCTCATATTGCTAAAGAATTCTTCTTAAGTTTAACCATATTCTTTTCCATTGAAAACTAGACCTTATTTTATTCTTGGCAACAACTGTTCTAGTTTTTCTTTTTAAGTTGCCTTTATTTTGTTTGTGCCTCATGATTTCTATTCCACTCAACTGTGTTTGTTACTAAATCCTTAATATACTTTAAAATTAATTTTGACATTCCTTTCTTCATTTGTTGGTTTATGTTCACTCGTGGGTATTCATTCATTTATTCATTCACCGAGCAGATATTAGTTGATGTCATTCTTAAAAAAATCTTCCTTACACCCCGTCTCCACCCAGTATGGAGAAAATTGGCCCAAGTGGTTGGTAATGGAGTATACTGGTATATGACATTCAGATCCCTGATGGAGAACAAGGCTGACAAAACTGAGAATTTCATCTGTGTATTATATTTTCTCCCAGAGCTTTGGGCATTTAATGAGGTGTATCTTATATTTTGGCTGTATCTACATAAAATCAGGACCTTTCATGTAAAAATAAGCAACTAACTTTTACATACTCTATAATTGCTCCCCGCCCCCTGCATCTGCTCAGTTGTTTTCTCAAGATCTAAACCTTGAACATTTGTAACTGTGAAAGCTCTCAGATGTGGAGGATTTCCCAAAACTATAGGTGAGATTTTAAGCTCGATGAATAGAATATGTGGATTTCATCATTTGATCAAGTTTGTTTTGTAATAAATGATAGAGTTAGAATTAGGAATCTTAACCAAAGCACTGAGATGAAAGCATTATAGATATTATCTTGTTACAGAGGCTCAGACAAATTTATCTGTCATTGGTGATATTTAAATATACAAAATCCTTGTAAAACAGTGGAATTAAACAGTTAAGGGTTTTATATGCTGCTGTAGGATTTTTAAAAAAACTCATTGGTTGATTTTTTGGGCAGTGCTGGGGATCTAACCCATTGCCTTGTGCACGCTAGGCAGATACCCTAGCCCTTGGCTACCTCTAAATAGAACTAATTGTTTTTTTGTGCTTTTGAAGGTTGCCTATAAGCAGAAGCATGATGCTGCCAAAGGAGTCTCAGATTATGCCCACATGAAGGAGCCACCTGATCTCAGACATGCCATGGAGGTCAACAAGCACCAGAGTAATGTAAGGAAGCTCATTCCTCACCATTTTCTGGAAAATTGTAGCTAACTCATATTACAACTTGTGGGCTATTTAGTTGAGATTTAAATATTACAACACTTCTATTCAAAAAAGGACTTTATAGCTTATCAGTAAGAGGTACATTTGAATTATTCTTAAGATAGTCATTAAAACCTTGTAGAATGCTTCTAAATTGTCATGTATTTTCAGGCATTAAAAATTTTGCTTCAAGAAGACCACTGGGTTATTAGCATTTCTAGAGCTTCCTTGACTGGATGTGGAAGCTCATGGTTTCCAGTCTAGAGTCACAGAAATACTGCAAGAAAGAGCATCAGCAACCAGTAACCCAGGGAGGAATCACCCATGAGCACTGGCTAGACTGTACCCCACTGCTCTTTCTTTTGAACTGCTTGTTGGGGATCAAGTTATTATTAAACTTAAGAACCAACAGATATGAAATAAGGAAGCAACAGATGCTTAATGACGGACTTAGCAGCAGAACAAAGAGGAAGAAAGTTAGCCTGTAGAAAATAAAGTTTTTCTTTGGTTGTCAGTTCCCAGGCCCATGAAGGCTTACATACATTTGTTTAATTACCGCTTACTCTCCTGGTGTCCTAGAAGAATAATCTCTTCCTGAAATTGTAGCGACAACTTGTCTTCTCATGAAATTCTCTGCTCTCCAAAAGACATGTATGAACCGCTGGTCAGGTTCTTGGATTAGAATCAGTTAAGATAAGGTGCCTGTCCTAGTTAGATTAAGAAAACTCCCTTCTTGCAAAAGTTCCTGATATATCTTTGTTATCTCAAAAGAGGGCTATCAGTCAGTCCTCTTACCAAGCAACTTTGCTGACTCTGTGCCTCCAAGGCCCAGAGGTACAGAGTGTCTCTCTGCAGTATGGCAATGACTATTTGATATTAAATTGCATTAGATGTTTAAATAAAAACCAGAGAGGAATTTAACATACTAACCCACATGTTTAAACATATGCTGATACCAAAGCATTTCTCTAAGATGCTTTAGGATTGACAGGAGATGAAGAAGCTGCAGGTCTGCAGTTATTATCAGGGCTATTATTTTAGGGAGGCCTTATAAGAACTGTTTGCTTACAGAATGACTATAATAATCCTAACTACCATTTACCCAACTCAGCCATGCACCAGGCTCTGTGCCAAGACTTTGATCATTTCCTTTTCTTACAAACACCCTGTACTGATTCCCATTTCTTAGATGAAGAAAATAAGACTCAGGAATCAAACTCTGGAGTTCACTCTTTTTGCTGTACCCCACTATCTTCTTCTTAAAGGTCCCTGGTAATTAGTCAAGATTTTAATTGAAATTTTAAAAATGAGTAGTGTTGTGGGCTAGGGTTGTAGCTCAGTGATAGAGTGCCTGCCTCACATGTGGAAGGCACTGGTTCAATCCTCAGCACTACATAAAAGTAAAGTTAAGGTATTGTGTCCTTCTATAATAAAAAACCTATTTAAAAAATGGGTATCGTTGTAAAGACATCATCTGAATTCAGATGCACTGCAGGAAAGAATAACGGAAAGCCCCAAGTTCCCACTATTTTGTGGCTGGAGAGACCTTGAACTCATATAAAAGTCCAAGGGGAGAAGGTGGGCTGGTGCCCTGGGGTGGAGACTGGTGTAACATGGATCCCTGGGAGGCCTTTTCTTACTCTATAATTCCATGCAATTCAAATAGGGGAGTTCCTTGTCATAGAACTGGGCTTATTATTTTAACTCTGCCTTTTCTTTTAAAAGGTCTTTGATTGAGGGAATACAGAATGAAGCCCTTTTCTCCTCCATTCAACAGTGTGTGCTCATGGGAGAAGGATGTGTTTACTTACACTCCTCTGCCAACTCAGCCCAACCTTTGCATGCAAAGTTTGTACATATAATAGGATTTGGAAAGTGTTTAAGACTATTTACTTAGATTTAAAGTGAGAATGATATTTGTATTCTACCTGTGAAGTAGTTGATATTCCTCCAGAGTCAAGCTACTTGGAATAATACATTTGTTGTCCCTACAATATGAAATTTAAGGATTGGTCTTAAAAGCTGCGAGGAGGGCTAGTGTGTACGTCTCCTGGTTCAGCTGGCAGATCCACCTAATCTCTGTAAAAGACAAAACTCTTGTCTCCCATAAAACATCAGCCTGAAGAAACTTATGGCAGAGAATTGACTAGCAGAATTAATTGCCCTTTTGTGATGTGGAATGTCACTTTGCACTCTGGCTATAAATGAGTGACTTAATTTCAAATAAAAATGTGCCATCCGATATGAATAGATATGAATATGATTAACTGAGGAACGGTGAAAGTCAATGCCTTTGCTTACCTGGTTTAATTTATGCTGCCACCAAAATCAAGTCAGCTTTCTAAGTTCTGCTAGAGACCCAGGAAACTAGAAGAATTGCACATCAGAGCAAGTTAATTTTTGCCTCCTTTCTGATCATACCTTTTATTAAAATGGTCCTTAGTGGTCAAGAGGAGTGAATTTTCTTCAGAATCTTTCTCTCCCTTACACTTTCAGTGATGTAAATGAGCAGAAGAAGAGGAGAGAGATGTGTATGTATGAACTGATTTCTCACTTCTGAGTAACTGAAAGTTCCAAGGGGAAGAGTATTCTGGAGGCAGGGGTCTCTTGTATCACTCCAAGATTTAAAGATCACAAAAAAGGGCAAAATTTTTAGAATATGCTCTATGCTAGCATATATGAGGGAAAAAAAAAATGTTTGGTGTTAGACCGTGCTCAAAATGCTGGCTGTAGCTGAGCGAGGTGATACACACCTATAATCCCAGCAGCTCGGAAGGCTGAGGCAGGATTGAGAGTTCAAAGCCAGCCTCAGCAATTTAGTGAGGCACTAAACATCTCTGTTAATAAAATACAAAAAGGGCTGGGGATGTGGCTCAGTGGTTGAGTGCCCCTGAGTTCAATCCCTGGTACCAAAAAAAAAAAAAAAGAAAGAAAGAAAGAAAGAAAGAAAGAAAGAAAGAAAGAAAGAAAGAAAGAAAGAAAAAAATGCTGGCTTTGCCGCATGTCCTGTGGATGACCTGGGACAAGTTACTTAATATCTCTGTATCTCAGTTTTTTCTTCTATAAAATGGAGACAAGGACACCTACCTCCCAAGGCTCTCACAAGTATTAAATAATATATGTAAAGGGCTCTGCAGAAGAGCCACTCAATAAAGTATTGGGCCTATTTGGTCCTCCTCCAGTTTTTAAAGGGTGATTTGAGTGTTTAGGGTGATATCATCGTTCATTTGAAAAATTAAAAGAAAATTGGTTTATAAAAGGGCTAAATCAATATGAAATTAATATTAAGAAGTGTTTTGGTCAGAAGGGTGTATTTAAGAAGTTTTTGAACATATCTTATTGATACTATAATTAAAAATTGATTAAAAACAGCCAATCTAAATCCTTTTATATCTTAAGGGATACACTCCTGCCAAATTTTACTAATGTAATGAGAGAAACTGGAGGTTTTCTGTTCTGTGACTTTCCCCTGAAGATGGGCTTGTAATGAAAACCTCAATCCATCTTATCAGAGGCCTGAAGTCCAATAGTTCTCAAGAAAGTCAAACAAAAATCACCATTTTTAAGTTTTATAAATAGTATGGTTTATACCAACTTGTGATGAAATTGGAATAGTAAACTTTTCCCAAACATCATATTGGTAATCAATTCAACATGTATGAAAAAGAAAGTATTCAGCATGGGAAACAAGAGACTTAATGTTCTTTTCAAGAATGATCTATGTACTGACTTAAAATTAATAAAACCTTATCAGTAGACAAATTTATGTTTCATCAGAAAGTGAAAAACCTTAAAGATAAATCAGTAAAATAATACTGGAAAAACAATTACAGCTCCGTGTGGTTCCCCAGTGTGACTAATAGTAATAGCCTATAAGGATTTAGTATTTCAGATACTAAATATATTGGTGTTCTTGTTCATCTCCAAGCCAAAATTGTTAGTAATACCTATTCTGCTCTTTTCATGAGATTGTATTGTTGATAAAATTAAGTTATGAATAAGAAGACATATTCCAACTATAAAATGACTTATAAACATTGGCAATAATAATAATAATGATACATTGTTTTAGATGTAACTTATTTTACTCCATCTTTTTAGACAATTAAAAATTTTTTGTTTGCTCAATAGTATCAGAATGTACATTCACTTATATTTGAAAATTTTATATTGACTTATAGAAAACAAGATTTATGTTTTAAAAAGGTTCATATTCTCTTATAAATAATAACATTTAAGTAATTTTAATTAAAGACTTTCCAGGGGCTGGGGGCGTAGCTCAATGATAGAGCTCTTGTCTAGAATGTGTAAGGCCCTGTGTTCGATTCCCAGCACTACAAAAAAAAAAAAAAATTAATAAAGAAAAAAAGAAAGAAAAAAAAGTCCCTGTGCCCTGGAGTTCATGATGGTAATAAGAGGTTTTCTTGAGAATGATTGAACCTGGGCTTCAAGATTGTGACTCTATACAGGTTACACTCCTCACTTCTGTTCTAGTTTCTTCTCACCAAGAATCATTTAACCTTCACCGGAGCAGTGAAAAGCTTGGTCCTGGCCCAGCTTGATCTCATTCTCTCAAGGCCTACCTGCTTGTGAAATTTCAGTCCCACAGGTATCTGTCTGTCTGTGGTTTCCAGGGAGGCTCCTTTCCCCACCCCCGAGTCTTCTCATCTCTCAGTGCTTTGCTTTCACCTCACGGACAGTCTGTGGAGTTTTGCTTCTGTYTAGTTTATTAACTCACCTACCAAGGAGTCTCAAATCACCATTTTATAAAAGTAGAAAGCCTGCTGGAAGTCACCGCGAATCCTTTGATCACTCACCTGTATCTGGATGTACCTGGAGAGTAAAGGCATCTGTGCTACTTTCAGAATCTCATAGGAGTCTGTTGTTTATTGGCCAAGTCTAACCCATGACTATATAAGGAAGGGGATGCTGGGGGATGTTGCTCCAGCCTGGAAAAGGAGCTTCAGCAGRGCCCCTTTGAGTACAGACAACCCAGCCCAACAGGGGTGGGTGATGGTTTAATGAATTAATGCACATAGAGGATCCAGAGCAGTGCCTAATGTGGGTCACGCTGCAGGAATGAAGGAAGCATGCAAAGAACATGGCTGTTTTGAAGCAGAAGGAGATTCAAGGAGGGAACAAGACAAGATTCAAAGACCATGAAGTGATACGAAAATACAAGCTAGGGCAAAGGGGAACATGGTGAGATAAGGAAGAAATTCAAAGACAAAATTTGATGGAATACAATTCTTTATTGGAGGTTAAAAAAAAGAGAACAGATTAGATGCTGCAGAAAAACATGAAATGTATCTTTCTAGCATTTCCAACAGGAATCTAAAGTCCTTGGAGTAAAATGAATATTTATTGGTATATATATATATATATATATATATATATATATATATATATATATAGTTGTGCCTTGGTATACTCAGGCGATCAGTCCCAGGACCCCTGTGGATACTAAAAATCCGGGCATGTTCAAGTCTTTAATAAAACATGGCACAGTACTTGCATGTAATCTGTGCACATCTACCTATATATTTAAAATCAACTATAGATTACCTGTTATTCCTAAAACAATATAAAAGCTATATAAACAGTCATTATACTGTATTGTTTAGGGCATAATGATGCAAAGACAGTCTGTACATGTTCAGCACAGGTATCACTTTCTTTTTTGAATTTCTTCAATGCATGGTTGGTTGAGTCCTGGATATAGAAGCCAGGGATATTGAGGGCAGACTATAATTAGGAAATGAACACTAGCTCCAGGCACAACTAGTTCYAGAGCTTTCACAGTGTCACCCAAAGCCCTCCTCTGTCCCATATCTCATTCTGCTTGCTGCTGTGTGATGTTCCTTTCACACAGTTTCTGTGAGGATTCAAGTCGACAGCTGTAGTTTCTAAGCTTAAATCATCCTCATAGCAGCTGATCCCAGAGAAAAGTGGTGTGTGCTGACCTCAGCCTCAGATCCGCTGAATGACTCTGCCGCTGCTTGGAATATAAGTGTGCCTTTTACAACCATGGTTTCTAAGTGGACTCGGAACCTGATTGGATGGTCCAAGGCATGTGGCCAACCCTGCCTATAGAAAGGCAGGTTGAGGGTCCCTCCTGGTCACCTGGAGTCAGGGGGACAGTTTCCAAATAAAAATTCCTAGGAGAAAAAAATGAATACATGTCTATTAAAAAAGGAAAAATTTAGGAAAATGACTCAAATATGTGGAAAAAGACAAATTCAGTTAAAGTAAAAGGCGAAAGGAAGTAATCAGGTATCTAAAATAGTAATTCTGAGTGTCCCTGTGGAAGAGACCAGAATCATCATTTGCAGATGAAATTATATGTCTTCCTACTGTGAAAAAGATAAAGCTGATCATCTTGGGTATAAGATAAATATATAAAAATGATCTTCAATGATAATTACTATTTTGCCTTGTGTAGGACCTATAGAAGAGAATGATGAGATGTCACTGAGATATATAATAAAAGAATTAGGGAAATGGAAAAATATGCCATCTTCCCCTAGGGGAGTCTTAAGTATTGTTGAGATATTATTTTTCTTGAAGTTGTTTTGTGAGATCACTGAAATACCCATTAAAATTCCAGTTGTTTCCTTTGTGGGATGTATTCAAATGCTTTTAATGTTCATTACTAAGAATAGACAGATAAAGATTAAGAATAGACTTGAAATAGAAGAGTAAGAAGGGAATTCAGTTGAACAGATATTATGGACATTTGGAAAAAAAATCCATAGAAGTGAGTAAGTTCTTCCTAGGCATATTGAAGAGTCAAAAAGTGGAGACCAATTTTTAAAATTTCCTTTTTAGTTGAAGATGGACACAATACCTTTATTTAATTAATTTATTTTTTTATGTGGTGCTGAGGATTGAACCCAGTGCCTCACACATGGTAGGCAAGTGCTCTACCACTGAGCCACAACCTCAGTCTTAGAGACCATTTTTAATATCATTGGTTTCTCTTCCTCCTTACTTCCTCCATCTTCCACCTGCTATCTTCTTTTTTCCTTCCTTCTTCCTTTTTCCTTCTCTTCCTTTTTGTTCTCTTCTGTGCTTTGAGAACATATCTGGAATAAAACATTGAAGGATATAACATAAAATCAATCATTGACTGTCAAGCTTATACCCATTAACCCATTTGGGGTTGATGATTTTCAAGAATCTCTTCCTTTGTCTCTTCTTCCTAGAAACAGTATTATATAGATCACTATTTGTCATGAGAAGAATAAAAAATGGTGGCCAATCCACTGTTTCAATATGGTTAGCATTTAGAGTTCAAATTGATTCAGGAAATACAAACACACACATGCATATGAGCTTGCCTATACACACACTTTGACCTCCGAGCTCTTCTGTCTGTTACAGGACCATTTGATTCTTCCTGAGTTCTGATGCAATGCCAGAATGGAACAAATCCATACTGCAGACATGTGAGGAATGTCGGATGAGTTCCCTCAAAGCTAAGGGTGATCTAGATACAGGAAGATGAGTAACCTACTCAGGAAACCATGTTGCCATACCATGCATGTTCAGACATCCTTGCAAGAGTGAAACCAGGAGCTTGCTCCTCTTTCGGGCCCACACATGTAAGCCCCCTTTCCTGTGGAATATCCCCAAGCAGTAGCATTCTGGAAGATCTGACTTGTGATCAGGCTCCTGCGCTTTTCTCCTGTGTGGCTCTGTGGTGTCCTCTTGTTTGAATGTACAGCTCATGTCAATCTTAATATTTGTTTTGAGTCACATATGCTGGCCTCTAATTTGCAATTTACATGGATGATGGGGCCCTATTCAAAGTCCTGCTCCTGCCGCCTTTGTGCCGTTCACCTCTCTTCAGCAGTCATTAGGCTGAACAGCATATAATTAGGTAACCCATGTAAAGCTGGGATTGCTGAAAGGTTGCAGTTCTTTTCAAAAAGTAAAGGTTTCCATTTTTACCCTCATTCTTTTCTAAACAAAAAGACATTCCCCCTCCCCTGGTGGTTTTCAAGTGAATGTAGTAACTTAGAAACAGTCCTGGAGGTGGGTAATAATTTTGGTTTGTTTTCACCTGAGAGCTGGTTTTTGTTTACACAGCTTGTGTTTTAACTCCCTGTAGGCTGAGGTTGAGTTGCTATCATTTGTGGATGAGTGTGTTGCTTTGTGAAGCCAATGTAATTGGTCTATTAAAAAAAAAATCCCTGAAGATTGAAAATTTACCCGACAATATAACTCAGTCACTGGCTTATATTTGTGTTTCTTTTACTACCTGTATGTACAAAACCTACCTGAAATGACTTGCTAACATAAAGCCTATGAAGTATTAATACTGAGGGACTTAATACTAATTGTGCTTAAGCGCTATGTACTTTTCAGATTCACAGTTGTAAATGCAATTTAAAAAATGATCTTGGTAGTGAGGCAAAAATAAGCTTTCAAAGGGCAAATAGAAGAAGTGTACCTTAGCATTTCATTGAAATGAAATAATGCAAAGGGAACCTGTTGAAGTATTAATGTATTATCATGTCTCACAGCTGATAATTGTTTTGGGAAGAAATAAAAAAGTAGGAGTATTTTAGATCTTCAAGGTTGAAAAGAAAATAACAAGATACATTAATATTATCTAGAACACTGGTTCATAGTGATCAACTTGGGAATTCATTAAAATCAGATTCTTGGACTCCATTTACCAAAATTTTATTCCAGAGGATTGTGGATAGACCTTAGGAATCTAAATATTTTATAAGTAGTTCAGATGGTGCTATTGCAGAAAGTTTACAGGCAATGTTAAAAATCCTTGCGCAAAAGGAAATTATTTGTAAGGTGTCTAAAGGTTTGTTTCAGTTTTCTACCTTTTTGTGCTCTGAAAAAGTAAAGATGGGTTTCTGCATGCTTTGCATTTTGACTTTAATGGAATGTATTATAATAGACAAATCAGCCACTTCTGGTAATATGCCATATAGTCCCACATCTGGCAATTGCTTTGGCTCATGACAAATCAAGAATTTGGAAAGTGAGAGACAAGTGAGATGTTGACCATCAACATTATAGCAATGTGATTCTGGTCTCTCCTCTATTTGTTAGTCAAGTTAACATAAAGGTACATGATCTAAAGTATTTAACATTTGGCAGAATTCATACATTTTTCTCTTTAAATCTCTACTTTCTGAGTTTTGGCTTGATTATGTCTAACATTTATAACATTCAGAGGGAGAATATTCCTTAATGTAATAATTCTTATTTTGAGTGRATCAAGCTATCATAATGATATGCATTGGATGGTAAGACTATTGGTAGCCATGTCTAAGTCTCCTTGGAGTGAACATTTGAAGAGTTCAGTTAGAAAAAGGAGAGAAGGGTGTAGTTGAGAGGGTAAAAGCTGGATAGTTTATAGAGCCTCAACACCTTCCCTCCCCAAAGGAAGTGATTTTTAGTCTTCATTTGCTGGGACTTACGCTACATCCCCTGAGGTTGAGAATATTTCTGAAACTTTTCAGGCAAGTTGAAGTGATTGCTAAGTACATTCTGTATATGAACAGAAGCATCCACACTTACACACCAAGCATGCTAATAGGTATCTGTGAAAAATCCTTTGAGACTGCTTTGTGCCCTGTTCTTAACCTTCTATTTCTTAGGTAGTATAAATCCACTTCAAATATATATTTTTTCATTTCAAATATGTTAATGTTAGTGAGATATAGGTATACTGTGAAGAGTTACTCTTTCTATGAAAATGAATGTTGTGCACAAAACCATGAAAAAAAAGCAACTCAAGGCCAATAAGTTCTCTTAGCAATTATGACAAGGACAAATAATGTTATAGACATGAAGGTTAGTAGCTAAATGAAATTACTAAGTTGTTTTTATCCCCTCTTGTTTCTTTTCAATCAAAACTGTCTCTTTGATCAGATTTCTTATAGGAAAGATGTGCAGGACACCCACACATATACTGCAGAGCTGGACAGACCGGATATCAAGAAGGCAACTCAGATCTCCAAGATCATAAGCAATGTAATTCATCTTTTTAAAATCTTGTTCAGAAATGCTTTTTTTATTTTTGCAAGAGACAAAGTACAGTTTTGGTATTTGGATGGTTAATTTAATTAGTATAATTAATCAATCTAGATTAGTGACATCTCAATGTTTTTCCTTGAATTATCCATTTGATTATGTAATTATTTGGGTATATGCAGAAGCTGCCCAAATTGGACTTGACTAGGACTGTCATGCTTTTAGAGTTGAATAAGTAGTATATGGGATAAGATCATATCCAAATGTCTCACCTTAAAAGTCAGGGTTGTCAATTTTCTGGTCCAGTATAGTCTCTTACCTCACCCTGTTCCAAGGAACTTCTCTTGGCCTCATCCCATCTCAATTCTGTTAATTGTGCAGATTCTCTTCCATCAACGTGGTTGCCTGTTTCCCCCTGCTGAGGCTGTTTCTTATSGTCTCTAAAATACTCTCCTTGGTTAATACTATTTGTCTTCAACATACCAAAAATTCCGGTTGAAATGGTGTTTGAACTCAAACTGAATATTGGAATACCCTAAGTGTACCTTAACAATCAGTAATTACTAAAGTCAACTGCATGTGGATCAAACATGTCAGATCAGTTTCCAAAGAAAAACAAAACCATAAATATGAAGAATGCAGGATCTCTATCCAGAAATTTCTCCTTATGTATTTTTTTTTTCAGTATTTGATGATAGCTGGATGCTTAGTCTCAAAGTTAATAATTATTTTACTGCTAAAAGTTAATAATACCTAACTATACTGTACAATGGATTCTGGCTTTAGCAGTCTATATGTTAGTATTTGATGTGTTCTAAGGAATATGTTTTTAATGGGCTGAAGATCTATTATATTTTATTTTGACTAATGTTAATGTAATTCATCATCATAAAGTAGAATTATTCAATATGTTCTTGTTAATTTTAGGCAGAATACAAGAAAGGACAAGGAGTCATGAATAAAGAGCCTGCTGTAATTGGAAGACCAGATTTTGAACATGCTGTGGAAGTGGCCAAACTTTCTAGTCAAGTAAGACTCTGGAGTCATGATCCTACAATGACTTTATTCAGATATTTTGTTCCTAGGAGCACAGGAAAATATTTCATTTTTGATCATATCTGTAGTTGCAAGAATAAATGGGGATCATATTTCTGAAACTTTTCAGATAGTATTGCAATAATCACAGATTTCAACAAAGAAAAAAATTAAATCTAATTTTAAGCATAAAATAAGTTTTCCATCCCACCCTCCAGCTCAAATCGAAAACTTTTGGTTTGGCCATGTTGCCACATTTCCCAGAATTCCCAGAAATCAGCAACGGTTGTGCCAAGTAATTGTATTTCTGTCTGCACACACACACACACAAACACACACACACACACACACACAGACACACACACGTTTTTAACTTAGCAATAAAAATACTAATTTTCCAAATTTTCAAATGCTTTAATCACAAATTAATAAAGGGGCAATGAAAACAGAGAAAACTTTGGAATTTTATTGAAAAACAAAATAAGATCTACAAATGTATAGAGACATGACATGTTTTTGGTTGACAGTCTTAATAGATACAAATTTTGATTCTTCCAGAATTATCATATAAATGTCATTCACTTTCACTTAGAATCCAATAGGCTCTTTTTCATTTTAATATGGATAAAATGATATTAATTTTTCATGGAAAGGAATTACCTGAGGAAAGCCTTTAAAGGTATGAAGACAAAGATCAGTGAAGGGGAACTTAAATTATGAGTTACCATAAGATAACAGGAGATCATTGAAATGAAATCAGTATGGATTGGTGGGCTGACAGGTAAAATAATCAGTAGGATAGACTAGAATCCTGAGATAGATTCCAGTATGTATAAGAATTTAATATATGACAAAAGTGACAGTTCAAGTCAGTGGGGAAAAATTGGTTAATAAATGGTGCCAACCTAAGTAACTGTCATGGTGAGAACACAATTGGACCCGAATCTTGGACCCCATATAAAGCTGAATGCCAGGTGGATCATTTCATTAACAATAAAATAAACATTATTAATGATTATTTGTTTACAATAAAATAATTTTAAAAATCTTAAAAGAAATTTCAGGATATTCTATATACCAGATAGGGCATCCGGATTGTGCTTTAACATGTCCAGAGACCCAGAAGCTATACAAAATAAACACATTAATTGCATCAAACTTCTTTCAATGGAAAAGGTGATGTTTTCAGAGTCAGTAATAATGTGATCAAACAGTAATTTTACTAATGTATAGTGTTCATAACTTTGAAAATATCTCTTTCTCAAGTTGCAAAAGTCTTAATTAAATGATGTTTCAGAATGCAGACACRTAAACAATAAAAGGCATAAAATCCAAGTGAGGAATGTAAGTCTTGAGCAAATGAACCGCTGTAGTATGCTCTTGGCTTGAGAGTCTCAATACTCAATATAACAGTAATGTTATATTTTAAAACTCATTTAAAAAACTCCATGTAAGTCCCATTAGAATCCAAACAGCCTTTTCAAAATTAGAATGTAATTATTTGAATGAATTGGATCTATACAGAGAAAGGAAGTTCTGATAATACATATATTTTTAAGATGTTTAAAGGAAGAAAGAGCAGTGGTCTTCAAATGTTTGGAAAAGTATTTATAATATATGTGATAAGAATATTGTCTATAATATGTAACTTCTTTAAAGAAGCAAAAAAGGCTAACATGCCTGTAGAAAAAGGAGAGAATGGTGAATAGACATTTTACAGCAAACATCTGTGCCCAATAAGCTTGTGAGAAGCAGCCGAGTTCAACAATAGAGAGAAAATGTCAACACAGTGAAAACAGAGTGTCATTTGTACCCATCCCCATTTGGTCTCTGGCTAGTGTGGAGGAGGAGGACACCAGGTCAGACTGTGTGGGAGGCAGTATTGAGCTGGCTTTGTCAGAGAGGAAGAGAAAGCTCCCAGGGAAAGCCCCAAATAAAGGTTGGCAATGAAGGTGACAGAGGACAGAAGTCTGATAGCAGAGGCTCTGAGCAAAGCCATAGGAGTCATGAATATAATCAGGAATCTGGGGGGGGGGGGAGATTTGGTGAGAAATGTGTCAGTGTTGTGCTCATTTTGACTATAACCCATTACTTAGCAGAGCAGGAATAATGTGTTCTTTCTTACATGTATTAATTTTTCCAACTTTTAAAAAAAAATCAGAAAAGTTACCATCTTAGCCATCTGCAGTGTGCTGTTCAGTGGTGTTAAACGCCATCGCCATCATCCACCTYGGGGACTTTTTTCATTCTGAAAAGCGAAACTTTTTGCCTATTAACATTAGTCCCCACCTCTCACCTTTCCCCAAATAACATGTTCTATGAAAGAAATGGTAAAAAAAAAAAAGAGAGAGAGAGAGAAAGTGATAACCTTGGGGAACATTTTAGAGTTAAAAACCAAGACGACCAACTTATCACCTATTAATCTAATATCTCAAATTGCTTCCACTTTCAGCTAGCAAATAAGTAATCCCTGAACATTTTAACAAGGAAGGATTGTGCAGACAGTATTGCTCAAGGTTAATGTGGCCACACTGTGCAGGCAAGTCTGGCCTTGTGAGAGGCGCAAGGTCCAAGAGGCCAGTTGGCCTCAGCTGTGATAATCACGCATGAAGTGATGGGTCCCTGAAAGGTCTCCATGGCTGTGGGGTGAAAATCAGGCTTACCCCCGAGAGACCAGGGTAAGAGATGCCTGGATRTAACTGAGCCGTGTGCTGGTTGTTTTTATAGTGAACAAGGCACTTTCACCTACAGATCTACTTGTTTGTACTCAGGATGCTGCTCATGCCCAAGAAGTTGGGATGCACTAGATGACACTCACTCAAAGGTCAAGAAGGGCTGTGACTCCACGCTCCTGAGTCYCAGATAAAGCTTGGTGGACAGACGGGAGATATCGGCTTTATTTTAGTGTCCTGCAGAGCTCCCTGACTTCTCCTAGCTCCAGCCTCTCCTGAGGATGAAGGTTTCCCATCAATCATGCAGCAGGTTGTAGTTTAGTGGTTAAGAAATTGGGCTCTAGAGCAGGACCATGTGGTCAAACTCTAATTCTGTTGATAGCTTGTCACAAAATTGCTTAATTTCTCTATCTTCAGTTTCCTCATCTGTAAAACAGGGGTGACAACAATGGTATCTTCTTCTTAGGATTGTCCTGAGAGTGAGATGAATTACTTGTAAGAACACTTAAAAACTGTGCCTGGCTGGGTGCAGTGTCACATGCCTATAATCCCAGYGGCTTGGGAGGCTGAGGCAGGAGGATTGAGAGTTCAAAGCCAGCCTTAGCAACGGGGAGGCACTAAGCAACTCAGTGAGACCCTGTCTCTAAATAAAATACAAATAAGGCTGGGGATATGGCTCAGTGGTTGAGTGCCCCTGAGTTCAATCCCCAGTACTACCTCCCCTAAATAAAACAAAACAAAACAAAAACAGTGTCTGGCCCATGGAAGATTACACAACTTCTTAGGAGTTTCTTTACTATAGATGTGTCGAGTGTTTTCTCTTCTAGTTTTTTAGATGAATTCATACACAGAATGGAGCAGAAATAGGAATCTGATGCTCAKATTCCAGTCTTAAATTCACCCTATCCCAAACCTGTTGGATTTAGACAAAAAATTTGGTGTTCAGCAATCAAGTGATCTGCTGCTCAAGCACACTGTAATTGGCAAATGACATTTTATCCATCATCTTTACTTTTTTTTTTTTATGACATTCTTACTGATCATATGATGGATAAACTCTTGAGAAAAGAGGAAAGCTGAGCAGGACTCCTGGAATGAACTCATAAGTTTTATTTGTCTTCTCAGGTGTATCAAAAATAAATAAATGCCCAAAGTGTCATTTCTTATTTTTGTGGACAACTTTGGAGATCATGTGCTCTCTTGCTCCTAAGCTAATAATAACACACAAATACACAGAAGGGAAATGAGGTGGGAATTTGGTAAGCCGGGAAAAGGGTTAAGGGGAGGCAAGGTGCAGGGAGAAAAGAGCATGTCAGCACTGGAAGATCTCTAGGAGAGAACGCAATGACAAGGAGGTGGCCCTGGAATGGAGTGAAAAGACAGCTCCATGAAAAGATGAGTAGAGAGCAAATGGGCAGAGGCTCACATTTTACCTGGAAATTGAGCTCTGTGCAATTTTACTCAAGAAAAGTAATGGGAACACATGCCTGACCCTCCTTATGTTAACTTGTACAATAGATTTGCTCTCATAGTTGAAAATGTTCCCTTTTAAAATTGGAGGATGCATAAAATTATGACCAGGCCATTGAAATAAAATCAGCTAAAACAAACAAACAAACAAACCAAAAAACCCCAAAACTTCAGTGCCAAGAAAAAGGTTGGTTTCTATGTATCTCAAATGTAAATAACTATTGACATCAATCAGCTTAAAAAATTCTAAGAGTATGATTTGTTAATRTATTCCTAGGTTATCTTATTATTTTGAATTTGACTATATGATGMATGAATTGTTTAGTTCAAGGAAAACCTGTATCTGTAGAATTATTAGTATTTGTTCTAAAATCGCTTTTGTTAGAAAGATAAGAATGGGTTTTAAATCTAGAAATTCCATTATGGATTGCTTTAAAAATTTAGTAATAAATATCGTCCTTAAATGGCAAAGGGTATTGATTGGTTTGGAGAATCTCCCATTCTCCCTTCCTGGCAAACAGATCCTCTGCCAACCTCCTTACACCCAAGTATCAGCTTAAATGTCACATTCCTGATTTGCAGATATAATTGGTATCCTTCTCCTCCCCTTTATTCTGTTTCCCTATAGTTCTTGCCACAATCAGTAGTAGGCATCTATGTGCATGCATGCATGTTTTAAATATCTACTTTTTTAGAACCACATGGCAGGGCTTCTGTGTCTTTGATCTGCCATTAGAGAATGGCACAGATTGATTCTCAATAAATATGTAGAGACTGATTGGACACATTTTTCTCTGGATTTTTCACATTTGATGCAGAGTCAGTAAGATGTTATTTTGTAAAGAAGGTAAGGGCAGAGTTAGCATTTTGTATAAAATTTAGACTTKAAGAATATGATTGATTTTAATAATGGTTCTACATAAAAATCGATTGTTTTTCATTCACCACTTATTATTTCATCCCACATCAGAGGAAGTTGATGYCAATAGCTATGTGATGGTGTGTTATTTGCTTAGTTTTCATTTTTAATGATCATTAGAATGAATTTATCAAATTATCTGCTTCTTCCCCAACATCTGTGTATATGACTACAATGAAAAGTTCTCATTCATGGTCTAAATTTCCCTGCCTTGCTGGCTATTGGTGARACTGAGCCACAGATGATGTAATGGGGAAGCCCTCAGCCCTCATGACAGTTTAACCATGTGTTTGGCTTTGGACTGTCAGGACTGCTCTGTCCAGAGGCAGTTCTGAGGACCAGTCTAAATTACATCATTATTGTCTAAGAGTTTCTGTGTTTTCTCCAAGTATGGGCYTCTGAAAATCTGTTAAAATTCTTTAGGAAACTTTTAGAAGTTTGATCCTTTATTCCTATCCTATATTTTTAAACAAGTGATATCAGGAGCAGTATGTATGATATTCAGAATGTAAATAATGTGGATCATATGGAGTAAACTTCATTTCAGAATAATACACCTGGGCTTAAAGAGTATTTTTGCATCTTCAAACAACACTTATTTCTCCCTTTCTCAAATGGTCTTATAATCCAAGGGGACACTCTTTGTTCCTATTAGGAACCAGATACAGTCAAGAAAGAGCATTGCTGAGATCTCTTAGGAGATGTGAGTGTGACTTAAGCAGTGGAAACTCAGGTGTATAAACTGTAAGATGGAAAAATAGGATAATTTTTTAATTAATTAATTTTAATAATTGAGCGAGTCTGTGTAGTTCCAGAGTGAACCAGTCAAAAGTGGGGAGATRCCACCTACTCAAACCACGGGTCATTTTCTTAGTTCATGTACGTGCGAACCTTACACAGAGTGACGAAAACTAGAGTTGTGTGTCAATGTCTGGTTTGTGTTTTCRCATGATGCAGAAATTTTTATTTTGTGGCTAATTAATTAAGGAGGGWAACTCTCATATTTTTGTTCCTTGGGCATGTTTTGAATCAAATCACGCGGAGCCCTGAGTTAGAAGGTGAGAATGAGATCAGTTTTACGGCACTTTGGTTATTATTGCATTCCATATAAGGATATGAATGACAGAGTGATTATTATTTTTCAGAAATATGCATTTACTTGGAAGAGCAAATGCCAGGTTTAATAACTGATAAGAAGCTGTCATTTTCATTTCCAAGTAACACCGCCCCACACATTGCCTCTGCTCCTCCTAACTGTGCTCGGAATCCCTGGGTACACAGAAACAGTACTGTGGTCTCCGGGAGCCAAGATCATAGAACTTRCTGTTGTTGTTTGGCTAAAGCATAACTAAGACACTCACGGTGCCCGAGGCTGGAGAAACTGAAAGGAAACTTGWTGCAAGTCCACATTGTGCAGCTAGATCTGCTGACAAGATGTAAATGGTGTCAACCCAGAGTTTTCACTGTACCCTGACTGGCAGGGAGCATGTTTGGCTCAGAAAGGGTAGTGTGTTGGTAGGTGTGGCCTGATCAGAGGCATCACTAAAGTAGAAACCAGTTATAGAATCTTCCAGAATCGTTGAGTGAATTCCCTTTAAGCACTAAAAACTTAGGAGAGACCAAACCAGTCTTTAAAATATAGCAAAATTCATCATAGCAGGGGGGTGGCATTGTGTGTTAGGACCAGGCTGGGAAAACCTTTGATTTTGTGCCAGCTACTCTGTAAAGTAGTGAAGAAAATCTATTTTTCCCCCTATTTGTGCTATGGTCCCTGATTTCAAGATGTAAAATAATAATTTTTAAAYAATTCAGAACTTTTCTTATTTTAGAGAGGCCTCATCAGTTATTCAGGATAAATGTATTAGGTGATGTGAATATCCGAAAGTTGCTATTATATAATGGAATCATGGAGAAAAAATCTTTCCTGTAAACTTTCTCAAAACATTTCCTAAATGTTGTATTCCCAAGGAGATTTTCACTAGCCTGTTCTCATAGGTATCAGACACRGGTCTGCTAAGGAGACCCTCACTCTGTTACAGGCTTGATTAAAACACATGATATGAGCCATTCCCAAACTTCTGTGTAATAAAGACTTGTGCAAGGCAGCATCTCAACATGTATGAGTAAACATGCATTACAAGAATATCATAAGAGAGCAGAATACTGTAATATTATAAATATTGTAAAAATAGTGCAAGAGAATAAAACAGTTTTGCTTTTGAAATCTGCACATCCTTTTCTGGCTTCATGAATCAAGGGGGTGCGAGATGTGAGTAACTAGGTTTATTTATTTATTTTGGTAGAGAACGCCTATCTATATTCCAATTAATTATTTTTTACATATGCTAACATATTTCTTTACCCATGAGAAAGATAGAGTCCTACAAGATAAGTTGAATTCTTTTGTTGTTGTTGTCCTGTGACTATTTAACAAAGAGCAAAAATAACATAGTGAATATTAGAGATGGTTTTCCGGATGAATAGATGATGTTGTTAAAGCAGAGAAATTTTAAAATAACATTCAATAGGCCTAGGATATTTCAGAAAACGTATTTCTTAAAAATGAATTTTTGAACAAATGAACTATGGGAAACCAAGAGAAAACCATAGTGTAAACCGTGCTCTTTATTTGGAACAATGCCCTTAATTTTTCTGATTCATATTCAGATTCTGAGCCAAGGACCCATTTTTCTAAATGTACTGGACCTTAAGATTCTTGTCCTGATTTCTGATTGATCATAGATTTATAGGAATGTAGAAATGGAAGCTGACATTTARAATTTTTGATATTTCAAGGCATAATTCTCATTAATAGGAAGAATTTGAGTTAATGCCTAATTGTGTTTATGATCAATGTTCAAGTACTGCACTTAAAAAAATGTATGCCTCATTAAGCTTTTATGGAGGTCATGAATACCAGGAACTTAAATTTTGCTACYGTTCACTGTTAAGGTAGTTTTATTTGATCGCTTTAAAATCAAGCGTGTTGTTATTTAACGCAAATGTACTAATTTATCCTATTTTTCTTTTGTGACAGGTTAAATATAAAGAAAAATTTGACAACGAAATGAAGGATAAGAAACATCATTACAACCCTCTTGAAAGTGCTTCTTTTAAGCAAAATCAGCTTGCCGCTATACTTGCAAGTGATGTATGTTGTAATTCTTAGAAAATTATTTTCAATATCTTTTGATTCTTGTTTTCTTAGAACTGACTGTATTATAATTACTGGTTCTTAATCAGGGTCATRTAATTTCCAAGTAGTCTGTACTTGAAAACAATGAAGCATATTTTCCTGAACCCTTTTTTTGAGAAAAATACACAGTTATAGTTTTTACTATTAATGGTTACTGATTACTAATTAGTTAATAAGCAGGAATAGTATTGTGAATAAAATTATCATATCTAATTTAGAAATAGATTACAGAGTTTTGTAGAAAAGAAGTGTATATTATCACAAATTAGTAGATAGGATGATAATTAACTCATAAATTATGTCGATACCATTGGGTTTATTATAAAGTACTTCCTGGTACATGGACATTTATCGTAAAGAAATTTTTAAAAATTAGACTGATAATGCTTATAATTTCACATATCTTATGTAAGGGCTATGAAATACTTCTTCATAAAATTTATTTGCATTTCATGTTTTAAAAAATAATCAGGATTCATTTTATAAGATGTATGAGAAACAGGCAGAATATAAAACAAACATTGAAAACATTGATCAGTTTGCAATGGTTGAAATGTGTAGAGAACATTTTCAAGTATGAAAATGAAATATTATCAGATTGTTGCTTTGTTAGATCATATAACCTTTCAAGTCCTATCATCTCTTTGGGGCTTGGTTAATTTTACTTCCAATGAGGTTTAGAAGGTGTTGTTATTGTGTTCACTAAACAACTTTTGTTTATCTCTAGCAGTCTAAACTTTTTTTTTTTGGTTGTTGTTTTGTCTTTTAGGACCACAGGGAATGTGAGATGATTTTTTTTTCCTATTTTATTTTTTAAATGTGTGTACAAACCAGGGAAATAGAGATGAAATATACTTAAAGGAACCTGGATCCAAGTACTGAAAAGTCCAGGCTTAGAATCAGMTAGGTGGATTTAAATCCTGTTCCTCCCACCTATTATCCCTTCATCATTCTGTGTCTTCATCATTTTCTCCTCTTTAAATGGGAATAAAGTATCTGCCTACTAGGGAGTTGTGGAGGTTCAATACTTCACATATATATGAATTATTTAGAGAAGTGTCTRGCAGATAATAAGTACTTTTTTTAAAGTTGTAGATGAACACCATAACTTTGTTTATTTTTTTAATGTKGTGCTGAGGATTAAACCCAGTGCCTCCTATGCTAGGCAAGCRCTCTACCACTGAGCCACAACTCCAGCCCTAGTGAGTAATTTTAATGCTTGTTTTATTAGCAGTTTATTATTTTCATTTTCTGGTATGATATTTCCAAAACAGTTGGCAAAGAAACAACAACAAAAAACGAAGTAAAGCAAAAACAAAACCCAAAACATGTCTGTGTGGCAAAAGAATGAAAAACACCAGTAACCTAAAGTTATCACAGAGCATAATTGAAATACTGGCACAGTGTCTAAAGAACAAAGTGGCTAGTCTCTTCAATTCTTGAAAACAGAGTTTCTGTTATAATTATTTGATTCTTTTAACATCATTATTTTAATAAAACTTTTTACTCATTCAGTAGTGAATTAGCGCCATCTAGTGGCTACCTATAAATTCGTCTGTTAACCACTAAAACAGTACTACTTTTATGATGTGTTAACAATAGTATTGGCAATAAATGCAAAAGCCTGTTCTCTTCTCCTAGATGGGTATTTTGTTCTATGTTATTTTCATAGGTGAAGTACAAGAAAGACTTACAAAATATGCACGATCCGGTTTCAGATATCCCAAATTTGTTGTTTTTAGACCACGCTTTGAAAGCCAGCAAAATGCTCAGCGGAGTAAGTGGGTCCTATAGCTCACCTGCTGTGCTCCTGAGCTCACCAGCTTCCTTAGTCATGCCTGTGTGTCACTCCACCCCCAATACTGGCTCACTGAAAAGTAGTAGTCTACTTGCATCAATTCCACCAAAGCTGTTGATTTACAAAGAGATTTCTTGCTAGCTCTTTAGTTTCTCTTAAATCAGCTACTCTTCAAAGTGTTTGTGCAAGTATTCTTCCTGACTCCYTTTTCTTCTTACTTCATCCTTGTTCACACTGAAGCCACTTGAAGTTCAGGTTCTTCTCCAGTCAGGGGTCTTTTCTCTGATGCAGGCCAGTCCAGAGTGTCTCCCGTATGCTTTCAATAACATAAAACGTTGTTTTCATCTAAATTGTATAATCTCTGAAAATAAATCATAAAGGTGTTTATATTTCATTGTCACTATACTCTAAGTCTTGTGATTTCCATATTCTGTCAAGGCAACTAGGCGGGCAAGGGTGAGTGTTTTGGACCCTTGGAGACTCACCCTCCTGGATGCTATGTTGATTTCTTTGGTTCTCAAAAAGATCACCCTGAGCTGCGTACAGTGGCAGATACCTGTAATCCCAAGACCTTGGGAGGCTGGTGCAGGAGGATMTTGAGTTCAAAGCCAGCCTCAGCARCTCAGTGAGGCCCTTAGCAACTTAGTGTCTTAAAATAAAAAATAAAAATTGACTGGGGATGTGACTCAGTGGTTAAGCTCTCCTGGGTTCAAACACCCCTCTCCCCACCAAATTACCCAGGGGGACATATGAAGCTCATATTTTCAGGGTGCCCCATGATAATGATGAACTCTAATTTGACTTCAAATTACTTCATACCTATTTTAATACTCATTCAAAATGGTCCTAATGTATCAARTAGGCACAAATAAGATAAAGAAATATTTGTTGGGTAAGACATGAGAAGAAGTGGATAGTTGTTGCAGTAGATGTATCCACAGCCATTGACTTAAAACTCTGTAGCAAAACTTGGTTCCTAAACATAAATCATGAGATTCAGCTTCAGTTCTACTTTACAAGTGTTWGTACTTAGCTTTGATAGATTGAAACTTCTGTTCTTTATTTTGTATGTCTCCTTTCTCAGAAGTCAACATCACGGTCATCTTTCTGAAAGTGGATAATGCATGTAAATAATTCATACTCATGAGATTTGTTTTAAGTAAACTTTTCTTTTTGTCTTTCCTTTAAATCACTGGTCCTTGGGCGAAAAGCAAAATGTCATTCTTCTCTTTCTTTCTATGAGCAAGAAAGAGAAGTTMGAAGAATATTGTCAGGTTCAGAGGCACTGAAATCCTATCATCCTGCATGTGAGAGTTCATTCCTGCACCTCTGTACACCTTCCTCTCTTCTTTGGGTGTCTGTGTTTCATTTCATGTTTTTCTTCTCAACTCATGGGCATGCTTCTAAAATTGATGGATTTCTATGCTCTGAAGCCTCTGCTTTCTTTAAAATCCTTGGCTTCCAGGTTTTTTTTTTTTTTTAATTTTTAAGGTGTAGTTGGACACAATACCTTTATTTTATTTGTTTATTTTTATGTGATGCTGAGGGTCAAACCCAGCGCCTTGCTAGGTGAGYGCTCTACCGCTGAGCCACAACCCCAGACCCTTGGCTTCCAGTTTTGATCATCACAGTGGTCTTTGACCTTGACTGTTCTCCATTCATACTCAAGTAAAATTTGCCAGGGACGTGGAGATTCGTGTGTAAAAAAGATTTTTGACCATTATTTTAAAACAGTGAAAAAAACCCCAGGTGATTATAAGTTGTTTCTCTCATCCTTTCCAGAGAGAAAACCAGCAGAGTTATGTGTTGTTTTAGACATCATTTATAAAATTTAAATCTTCATTCAGGTGTTGCCTTTGCCTACATCASAGATTATCCTCCACCTCCACAGAAAAACTGTGGCTGAATGGTTACTTCATGGGGAAGAAAGTTTAACTTAAAAGTGCATTACTCTGAAATATTGGCTTATAATTTTTTTATAATAACACATTGGCTCAAAGTTATTGTATATTATAAAGCCTTATTTTAAACCTTAATGTAAAGAGAATTAAAATTTTATTGATTGATAAAGGTGGCTTAACTTTATTAAAAGATTGAAAAAGATTRTTCATTAACAGTATTCTGCAAATTTTGTCAGTTATATATGGCTGTTGGGGAATTCTTTTTTAAATTATTAAAATTTGTGTTAATTAGTTATACATRGGAGTAGAATATACTTTGCTACATCATATATAATGGAGTATAATTTCTCATTATAAATTATAAAAAATTATAAAAAAATTCTTCTGGTTATACATGATGTAATGTTTGGGGAATTCTTTTTAACATTCCACATGTGTGGATCAAATGAGTACCTTAAAAGTTGTACAGCCATGTTAAATTGAGAAAATTTTTTCCTCTGGAAACTGAAACACTCATAGTTTTAAGTTTCTTTTATAATTTTTTGATAAGTCGTGTGTATATATAGATAGATATATGTATATATAGGTAGATTTACTATATTTATATATACATACAATATGTGCATATAATTGTTTTATTCTCCATAATTTCCACTAGGGGGCAACAGAGACTATTATATACGGAAGTACAAAACCATGTCTTTTTTGCAGCTCTTAAATAGGTTTTATTTTTCTTTTGTAATAGTTTCTGAAMTCCTTTGTAAGCAAAATAGATAATCATGCTGGGAACAATATTTGTTGAACTATTTTTAGTATTATCCATTATTTAAAGTATAATAGACTTTCTGAGTTCTGGATTTTAACTCCATAATTCTAGCTTTTTACATTCAAGGCATGATTATTTTATAAATAGGTATTATCAAAAACTTCTTTTTTTAGTGAAATAAATCCTAATAAAATTATGATGTTTCTAAGTACATCATTATTTTTTCAATGTTTTTGAATTTTTTTTTTTTTTAATTAGTGGGAGCCAAAATTTAGAAGTAGTTCTCTTCAGTGGAGATGTACTGTGTGWATATTATCATGACCTTCTTTTCATACTTTTCTCCTTTGCTTTATGGCTAGAATTTTGGAAGACACATATCTTTGCTCCCTAATTGACAGGAAGCTCTTGAGGCCGGGCTCCCTCTGGGGATCATTGCTTATATCCCACATGGAGCAGCAACTTGTCCTGTGGCCGGTCACTTGGGCCTTCCATCCTTCCATCCCTGGTACTGGACTTTCTTCCCTTTCACCTTCCCATCCTTAGAGAATTTCCTAAGACCCAGTGTAAGYTTCTCTATGGCTGGCTCTTTCCCACTTCCTCTTTCCCATTGCCATTTTGACTGAAATCTGTTTCCTAATGAGCAACCACATCTCTGTAGCTTTGAGTCTCTGAGGGCTATTGTTTATAATCTTTTCTAAATAGGTTGACATAACCAAGTGTTCAAAGTCCGATGATAGAAAATCATGAAGCGATTTTTGTCTTACTACTGCCTATAGTATTTAGAGTCCTGCAGCAGCCAAATTGGGCATCCCTGTCCACTCTGTTTTCTTCCAAATTTACCTTTTCATCTATATGTTGAAATAGTAGGCTCATCCAATTTCTTCACCTTAAAAATTCAACCACCATGCTCAGATTTCTGTTTCTTTTACGGGTACCTCTACCCTTTCCTTAGAATTAGGGGAAATTAGTTGAATTACTTTCCACCCTCTCATTTTCCTGACGACCTTCAATCTTCTTCATGGCTGARCCTTTGTAGACAATATTTTTCTTTCAAGCCTCTGTCTTTCCTTCCCCCTGTTCTTTCTTTGGTTCTCTTCTTGTGAGCACTATTAAACATGTTCCCGTCCCATAAGGGCAAGGCACTTTGCCTATGTTTGGTCCACCTTGCTGATCCACATGGGTCCCCTTACTAGCTTTGATGTCGCTGCTCTTGTGCTGTGAATATCCTTTCGGTTGTTGTTGATAGTTAACTGTCCTCAGAGTGTTTCCTGTGCTGTCCAYGCTGACCACCCGGAGCTGGTCTGTCTCCCAGTCTCTGTTTACCTCAGTGTCAGACACCTCCTYTGTGCCAGTTGGCTGCAGACGAAGACTTGATAACAGCCTTGCAGMTTTGGGTGGCTCTTGGCTTGTATATTTGTTTGCATTCCCAAGTATTAATTGCTCTGATCACTCTTTTTTATCCTAAACTTATTTTCATGTTCTRTGTTTTAGCGAGAATATAAAAAGCTTTTTGAGGAAAACAGAGGACTGTATCATTTTGATGCAGATGCTGCCGATCACCTGCACCACCAAGGCAATGCCACCCTTCAGAGTCAGGTGGGTGCTTGTTGGGTACCCGCCCTCACTGCTGGGACCATGTGACCATTGGGACACTTAAGGCTAAGTCCCTCAACTGAGAATATTCAGTTGCTCAAAAAAAGAGATCTTGAGAACATAAATGTTGCCTTGGGGGAGGGGGGGGACATCTTAGTTACTATTTTCAATTTATTGGGATGAGAGCTTCTAYCATATTTTGATATAAAGCCATTTCAAAAAAATAGCAGTTACTTCACATAATTTAAAAACTTCAAATATAGGAATTAATATAACTATAGTCTTAAATGATTTGAATTTTTATAGTGTACTGATTTGTTATTTTAGCTGTAAAACTCATTTTCCAGGTACCAGGTTTATTATAATTTTTAAGTTCATTTGTGAGTGTTATTGAGAAGGCAAAATTGTGTGTTCTAAATTAGTGTTTCTTCCAGCTCTGAAATCCTRTGTACCCTCTGAAAAAAACTTTTAAAAAATATCTTCTTCCTAGTATACTTTAAAGTCAGTGTCTACTTTTTTTTTTTTTTTAAATTGAGCTTGTAAATTTGTTAAATATGCCATTTCTAGTATTTGTTAAGATAAAGTTTTATGGAACACAAATTTTATAATGATCTTATGCCTCAATGTTTAGGAATGCACATTTTTTTCCTCTTTAAATTCTTCTTCTTATTTAATTTTTTTTTACCACAAAAATTCATCCTTATGTGTCACATGCTATCACACTTTCCACACTTTTGTTGATCATTCTGTCATTCTCTGTGACAAAAACATAGAGAAAAGTAGGCATGTTAAAATTTGTTTTCTTTCTGTTGTTGGAAAACTCTAAGTATTAAGTGATTTCTTTTGGGTTGAATTGTCATAACATCATAATTAAACAATTTAAGAAATAATTTCAATGACATGCATTTCCAAATAAAAATTTTATATTTTATCCATTTATTTTCTTTGCATGTCACTAACACCAGGGATTCCCCCTAAACAGCAAGAATAATTTGATTTTGAAAAACAGGATGATGAATTTTGGACACCTATTTTACTTTGCCTGTATAAGGTCATCGTGTGTGTATATGTGTGTGTGTGTGTGTGTGTGTGTGTGTGTGTGTATGTGTGCGCGTATTGGGGTTGCAACCCAGGGCGTTGGGCATGCTAAGCATGTATTCTACCACTAAACTCTACTCCCAACCCTGATTTTAATATACTTTTTACATTTCTTCCAATAAAGGTTAAATACAAAGAAGAATATGAGAAAAATAAGGGAAAGTCAATGCTTGAATTTGTTGAGACGCCATCTTACCAAACTTCCAAAGAAGCTCAAAAGATGCAAAGTGAGGTGGGTCACTGGTTTGTTATCAATTATTTAATGTATCTACTTTCTAGACATAGTGTCCCCACTTGCAGGAGTGCTGTCTGGGTCCTTGAGTTTGGCCCTTGGTCTTACTATTTGTTAAATATGGTTTTCAGGCCAGATGAGCTCCAAAAGTCCTTCTCAGYTCTTAAATTCTATGATTATAGAGCCAACACTTTCAGATTTATCAATATAAATTTATGAAGAGCASCTAACTAAAAAGAAACTAAAGAGCTAATGGCTGTACTCATTTGTTCACCATGACAACAGAACCGCATTTATTCTGTGCTAGAAGTGTGAAAAGACTCTTTTATGTGTCAGTTTCTCTAATCCTCAAAATAATGACAATAGGATGGCATTCTCTCTAGTTTTATTAAATATCCACCAAGATTAATCATTTTAAGTAAAATTACATATCCAATAAATGCTGATGTATAGGACCTGGTAAAAAAACAAATATGATTCCTTTTTATTCTGCAAGCTTATTTAATTGATTTTTATTTTCCCTGTAAACATTGAGTTTGTTTTCTACTTAGTTTGTTCCTGGCCTAAGATCATTATCTGGTAAGTCACATCCAGATATTCCTCAAACTGGTTTTTCTCTGTCCTAGTGAGACTGCCGTTTTTCTCCCCTTACTTTTTGGGGGATCAGACACGCAATGCTTTGTCTATAGCTGACATCCATATTCTGTGATACAACTGTCCCTTCAAAGGGACAGAAATAATGGGCAGTGGTGCCAGCTAATTACAACTCAGGGTTACATATCAGGCATGCTCAGTGGGCAGATCTTTTCTCTAATAACAACATCAAAATGGAGAATCAATAATGTCTGGACAAAAACCTCTCCTAGGAGTTTCATAAACATTGCCATTTGTCATGTGCCTGTTTGCTGTTTGTTTGAGATGTTATGACTCATCTTMCTGAGGATACTCAGGCATTACTATGACTTTCTGAATAGTCAAAGTGGCCTGATTTCTTCTTTAAGCAAAAGAGGAGAAGAGAACGACTTATATTTTTCATAGCTCATCTCTTCTTAAGTCAGTAAGTGTTAACTTAATAAAGAAATGTCAGCTAACTGTTCTTGACCAAATGAGATGAACTAACAGGACTGGTAAATTTGGTCAAAGTTCAGAAACTATAYGAAAACTTAACGTTAATGAGACAGGTTATGCTGAAATCAGCTGGGTGTGGTGGTACACACTTGTAATTCCAGCTACTTGGGAGGCMGAGGCAGGAGGATTATAGATCTGAGACCAGTCTCAGAAATGTAATGAGACCTTGACTCAAAATAAAATAAAAAGCATGAGGGTGTGGTCCTGGGTTCAATCTTCAGTACCATCATTAAAAAAAAAAGTATGTATCTACCTATAAACATATGCATATATATGTATGTATACATACATATATATGTGTATATATATTTATAAAATACTATATGTACATATATGTATATGTGTGTATGTAGAGATATAGATACATATGTAGGCATATATCTATCTATATCTATATTCATATATCTATACACACACATATATATCAGAATCACTTTTCTCCATTTAGACAATTTATAAAGAATTTTACATGACTGTATTGTCTTCCATTACAGTAGTACCTTTTATGTAGGCTAGAAATAGCTTTTCAAGGATTTTCCMCAGTTTATAGAAATAATATTCTTTTGTTACTGGCCCACAACTCAGAGAAAGGTTTCCACTTTTCAAAGTTGTCATGGAAATCTCAGTGGCTTCTCTGGAACCTTATGACCACATGAAATGGTTAAATACACTTTCACTGAAAGACATGGGTATCAAAAATCACAGAAAAAATAATAGCAGGAGGTTAATGTCACCCTTGTTTTCCACTTCTTCTCCTCCTATGTTTTCCATCTCCCTTCCCCTCTCCCTCTCTTTGATCTTCAGCCACAGAAACATTCATGCCCAGAACGCTTTTATCATTCTGATGTTGTGGTTTCTTAATAATTCTTCTTCCGCTTCCTCTCCCACCTCTTCCTCCTCCTCCTTCTTGACCTCTACCTGGTTAACAAATTCAGGACCTTCCGATTCCTGGTTGATCCATTCTGATGCCACGTTTCTGAATTAGGAATGACAGTAATTTATGGTTGGGGACTTTGGCTTCTCTTATTCTTCAACCAATTTATTCTTTCCCTCCTGCTCAGTGAGACGWATTTTCCCTTTAATTATAGCCATTGACCATTAGAATTTTTCAGGCTCCTTAATTATGCCTCTGCTCCCACACGGCTTCATGAGAGCAAAATTTTCCAACAGAAAATATCTTTGGGTCAAATTYATACTCTGAAAGCTAGAAAAATAAAATATCTAATAATCTTAGAACAAGTTTGATATGAAAATGACTTTAAATAAAGGAGGACATGAATACAGCCWCCTGTCTTAGAGATGGTTTCTATTCTTCAGAGATAGACTGGTCTAGGGTCTTTTGAGAAGCCCTTATGGGGGTAAAGCTATGTGCATATGATTTCAGGAAAAATCATCAGTGTTTTTGCTATGATCTTTTATCATACTTACCTTGATTCCTCCTAATACCAGATATAGTTTAATCTGTGTGTTTTCACAAGAAATCTGTAWATCCATCCTTGAAAGTTCTGTCTTCTCTTTCACAAATATAACTCCTGGCAGAAAGCATACTGAAGATTTTTGTCTTATTTCAGGGTAAAAATTGGCCAGTCTCAGGCATAATCAGCTTTTCTTAATGACTTACTTTAGCAAAGAGATCTTTTTTTTTTTATTCAGAAGAAAAGTTCTCTTTGAAGTGAAATATCTAATATAAATAAATAAATACAYATACATATTTATATTTCACTTTGTAGAGTCCTTTCAGCCTGGAAATGCCCTAGATTCATATTATCTCAATTCGTTCCACATTTTAAAAAGGACACTTTCTCATTATTGCTCTTTGGTGTCTCTCTAGTTCTTTAATTCAGAATGCTCCCAAAGCATCTTCTTAATCAGATTCATAGAATATCCGTCACTGCCTTTCCTCATGACTGCAGACACAGTGTTCATGGAGTGACTGTATGGAGCAGAAATTCTAAGTGAGAGGGCAGCACGCTTCTCTCATCCTCCCTCATGGCTTGGAGAGCTTCTTTATGTATATAATTACTTTTCTCTGTAATAAATATATAATGAACCTGGAAATAGCTGCTCATTTAGCATGAATAACAATCTCATGCAGAATTCATTTGTTCTTGTCAACTTTATGATGCCATTTGAATATAACATTTGGCTGGTAAAATCTGGCCCTTGTATAGTAAATATTTCACATGGTTGGATATTTTTATGATTTAGGCAGTCTTCCTAGTCATAAAACTTGAGTGATGGATTTTCAAATGCATAGCTCAAATGCTGGAAGAGACTTATACCTAGTGGGTTCAGGAGCAGTCCAACAGGGCAGGTGCTATGGGTCTGGGCCCTCCATYATCCATGGTCAGCATCCCCCTTTCATTTCTTGTTGTGAACTCTTACCTAAAGGATCCAGGGTGAGATTATCCTCACATTGTAACTCGATCCATATCAAATGCCATAAATGGTATATAAATATTTTCAATGCCCAAACCATTGAACAAAAATACCACCCCTTCCCCAAGCCTCCTTCATTAATTTTTAGGAATATTCTTTCCTGAATTCACAAAAGACTGACAGAGATAAGGGTGCAGGAGCCATGACTATTGGTGTTATTTTGGTTTGAATGGCCTCCCATGCCACCAGATTCTCTTCCAAAGGAGGCTCCCCATCCCTTTGGAGTGAATTCAGGAGAATCCCATTAAAATGCCAATCTTACTGGTTCTTTCCCTAAAATGGGGTGGTATTAATCAYGGACTAATAAGATGTTGAACAGCTTCACTCAGGATGATTTGCCCTAGAAATGCAATGGTCTTTAATCGTGCTACTTATATTTGGGGGAATTGTGAAGTTTATAATAAAGCTGGAATTATTTTCCTGTTGACAAAAACTCTAAGATAGTAGAATTATATCACAAAGCATTAATTTTGTTCTGGAAACACTTGTTCTTTTCAATAGTCACTAGTATTTCCTGCATTTAAATTATGTGTTTTTATTTAACAGAAAGTTTACAGAGAAGATTTTGAGAAGGAGATTAAGGGAAGGTCCTCTCTAGATTTGGACAAGACTCCTGAATTTTTACATGTAAAGTACATCACCAACCTTCTGAGGGAGGTACGATCTTTCTATTTTCTATTAAATGTCATGAAAGAAAACCAAGGAAATAACCCAGGAGATATTTATCTAACAGTCTTCTGCTAAGCCAGTTTTTGAGATGTTAGCACTTTGCTCTGTCCTACACTTTGACCCTTATTAAGAAAGTCCTACATTTTCATTAAAAAGAGAAAAGTATTAGTTAACACATCTGTTTAAAGTTGAGAGAAGAAAGTGCCTAGATTTCCTGAAAAGATTTKAAAAATATTTGGTTTTGTATTGTAGCTCAGAAGCTCTGTATGTTTTTTAGCTTTATAGTAGTTTTTTTTAAAAAAAGATATATTTTGAATATAGGTGGGCAAGTTTGATTCTTTAAAATGTGTTTATTATAAAAACATGTATTAGAACCACCTTTTTCCTGTAGCTCCCCTGCAGCATTCTCATGATATTTGATACCAAAAATGAGTTCTGACATGTGAAAGTGTGGATAGAAGGTGCATTATTTATAAATCTCTTATCTTCTATGTAGGCAAAAATTGGAAAGTTAGCATATAGAATAGAAGAACTCAGGTCTGTTTTTCATTTCATTCTCTGTAGGATTTCTCCCCAAACKTAAAGGTATATTTTGGCTCAGAATTAATATTTAAATGTGTTGAACACATAAGTTTTCAAATCTTAACAAAAATATTGTGTTCATAGTGCAACCCTAAAAATGTTTGCCTTTTTTTTTTAATGGCTGAAAAGTAACTTAAGAGTTCTTCCAATTCTGTTTAAATAGATTCTCTTTATATTACAGGAAAGTTTAAATAGAATATATATTAATGGAATACATGTAATATAATAATTATTATATAATATATAAGTGGAATATGTGTGTGTATATGTGTGTGTGTGTATATATATATATATATATATATATATATATATACATTTATTTATTTATTTAGGAAATGGAAAATGAAATTCCACTTCATTCTAAATTTTTGAACCAAAGAAATGATTACTGTAAGAAATATCTTAAGCCAGTGAAATACACTGAATTATAATTACCTATATAGAGGCTTATCATTATGAACTTCTTTAATAAGCAAGTGCCCACTGACCTTTACCATGAACTGGTTTTAGAAATTTAGTGTGATTCATTGTTATAATTTATATTGTGATGAAACACACATATAATTTCTGTAAGAATTCTCTTGCTACTTTTTCTTTCTTTTAGTGAGTATGATACAATTAAGACATTTTGAGAGAGAGAAGCAGGCAGAGGCACTCTGGTCTTTCTTACTATTAGAGCCATTAATCCCATCCTAGGGTCCCCACACTTATAACCTCATCTGAACATAATTACCCCCAAAGGCCCCACCTCCTAATGCCATCACATTGGAAGTYAGGGCTTCAGCATATGAATTTTTGGAGGAAAATTTAGATTATTTTTAGGAAATTAAACATCATAACAACTATGATTAAAAACTTTTAATTAAATTATAGAGATGTTCAACTTAAAAAACAGTTGCTTAGTGATATAATGAAATTGTAACTTCCCTTCCTAAGTGTAAGCCTTTAGCTGGAAATGGGCATTGCATTCCTTGCTTTCTGGCTTTTACATTTGCTCTGCTATTCAGAGTATCCAAAGTACCATTGGATGCTCCACCTGATTCCCCACCATTGCCCTTTGGGATTGGTAAAGCATTTACTTTTATTTTCATTTACCAAGATGGAAATCAAGGCTGAGTTTCTTAAAGTCTCCCTCCCCCCATGTAGTGAAAGAGCTTTACTTTAATCCAGGTCATTTCACTCAGAGCTCTTTCCAGAAACACGTGCTGGTTGTGATAATATCTAGCGGCCCGTAGGTTGAGCAGAGGACAGCTAATTTAGTTATACAGAACAAAGGGAAAATAACATGAAATGAACCTTAGAACTAACTGCAACCTGGTTTCTTATCAGTGAAGGTAATTTCATTTTTCACCCAGCAAATTAGTTGTAAATGAAATTTTAAGAGTAGTGGGAAAAGGATATTTATTGTTTTCAGAATACAATTGAGAAAACAAGCAATTTGTTGGCAGAGAATAACAAGTTTTGTGTAAACATCTGTGTGAGGCRTTTGGATCTACTTAAAATATGATATTAAAATAGGAGAAATTCAAAGTGTATATTATCAATACGTAGGAAATTATTTGGCTCTATGTTATTTGACTATCAATCATTGAATAAAGTGGAAACTTAAAAAAAAAAAACCTTTGGCTATAGCAACCCTTTTGATTTGGTCATTTTGTTTTGTTCTTTTTCAACTGTATTCTTTTGGTAATTCATGTTTATTAGACATTTTAAAAAAATATTTAACATAATTGATACAAAACATATATTCTTAAGATCTTCCTCAWCATCGAAAGGAAAAAAACATCTTTAAAAAATTCACTGTGGTACCAAAACATGTTGGGAGAAAGGATGAAAGGGCAAAGATGGATAATATTGGAAGCCACTCTGAATTTGATAGAGTATGGAAATGAAATGGAAAGGACATAGCAGGATGCTCAACAATGTGATTTCTTCCACCCTGGTAATATTTTCTGTCTAGGATCTCTAGAAAAGAATATAGAATATCGGTTAAAGTAATTTCCAGTAAGTTTTGAACTGTCATATCCTTGTCTTATAGAAAGAATATAAAAAGGATTTGGAAAATGAAATAAAGGGAAAAGGAATGGACCTTAATTCAGAAGTTCTTGATATTCAAAGAGCCAAACGAGCATCTGAAATGGCCAGTGAGGTGAGTGGATTTGCTTAACAACACAGAATGGGTAAATTCTCTGCTGACTTCCTTACTGATAAATCTTTCTCAAAGATTACATATAGGGGCTGGGGTTGTGGCTCAGTGGTAAAGCACTTGCCAAGCATGTGTGAAGCACTGGGTTTKATTCTCAGCACTGCATATAAATCAATAAAATAAAGGTCCATTGATAACTTAAAGAATATTACAAAAAAAGATTCTATATATCTCACAACTTTTATGCACAGATGATAATCTCCAGCTCTATCCTAGAAGTCTTTCCCAGACAGTGAATGAAAAATAAGTTGATGTTCCCAATCTCCTTTCTATTCGGTCTGAGAACAATGACCATTTGCCCCATTTAAGAGAAAAATCTGTATTATAAATTCACCAAAATAGTTTTATGAGATTTGACTTGATCTTTTAAGCAAGTCAGAGGCAAAAAAATTAGGAAGGTATGTTATGATCTATCAGTCACAGCAGTTAAAAAGTTCCTGCCCTCCTGCTAGCAGCCAACTTACACTCCCAGTCCAGCCCTAGATGCCAAATGAGCCCAGTTAAATCTCTTGATCAAAGTGGCTACTTCTCAGTTTATGTGAACTTTGTGAGAAGAAATGAATGTCTCTGTAATACTTTCAGTCCTATAATGCTTGTATGAGGCCATGACTTTGGTATCACATGACGGCAGTTCTTTGAGGAGAAGCTAGCTAAATTTATTAGTAAAAGAGCTTAAAGCTTTGTTGCCATATACTGATAAACGGTAGTACTAACRATGATGATATTGTCCCTGTTAGTCAGGTCTCAAATGATAGAAACCCAACTCGCACTGGGTTATGAAACAAGAAAAGTGTATAAGCTCACAGAAATCAAGATGTCCAAGATTGCAGGGTGCTGGTTGCCTGCCTGTAATATTAGTGATTCTGGAGGTTGAAGAGGGAGGATTGCAAGTTTGAGGCCAGCCTTAGCAGCTTAGTGAGACCCTGTCTCAAAATAAAAAATAAAAAATATCTGGGGATGTAGCTTAGGGGCAGAGCAATCCTAAGTTAGTTCCCAGTACCAGAGGTAGGGTGAGGGGTGGAAAGAAAGAAAGAAAAGTCCAAAAAAGTCCAAGATAATTTCCTTCTGGTGGGCATTCAAATGATGCCCCTGTTCCTCCATCTCTTGGTTCTGTTATCCTCTGTTGACTTCACACTTGAGAGGCTGTCTCCATGAGCTGAAGCCTCTTAATAACAGAGTAGCTTATACTTATGACCAGTAATACCAGTAGGAAGTGGGTATGTGTTTTGTAGTTCTAATGGAGGTTCTAGGAGTGAATTTCTTGGATCAGCCTTTGTCCTGTGCTGACACTGGAGCCAATCATTACATCTTGGGTCAGAGGAGTACAATGTGCTATTGGCTTCTCATGGTTACCCATTTGTTCAGTTAACTTCCTATGTATTTTAGTAGTATTTCAAATACAGAATATTCGCTATTCATATGCATTTTAAAAAATCTTATAGAGCCAATAAATTAAATGAAAAATTTTAAAAGAATTGTAGTGGAATTAAAAATATATGTGGGAACCAGGTGTGGTGGTGCCCAGTGACTTGAGAGGTTAAAGCAGGAGGATCACAAGTTGGAGGCCAGCCTCAAAAAATTTGCAAGATCCTCACAATTTAATGAGACCCCATCTCAAACCAAAAAGCATGTGGCTATATATTTCTGTGGTAAATCCCCTTTGGGTGTTCAATCCCCAGCACCAAAAAAATATATAAATAACAAATTTTTAAAATATTTGCTTGTAAGAAGGTGATGAAAACCAATCCCTGCAAGATGGATAGATTGAGAGGGGTGAGAGGTAATTCTCCCAAAGAAAATCATGGAGCATTTTGCCAGAAGACAGAAGGATGGATGTCAGGCAGACACAAACAATAGGTATCTGCTGCGATGCCTTTGGCTAACATTATCATCACATGATCCCTAATTTCTACAAATTCTTTCAGTTGGAATAATATATCTAGTCCACATTCAGAAGTAAATCTTGTAAACCGTTGTCAATAATATTTGGGAAAATTGTTGTAAGTTACAGTTGAATGCAAGGTGTTTCATGAACAGAAGCAGATTAGGCCTTATTAGGGGAAGAAGGGCTGGCATGGGGTATAGGAGTGAAAGATCAAGTTAAAAAAAAAAAGCAGTTATTGAGCACCCCCTGTGCTGGACTATGYACTATACGCTAACTCATTGATCTTCAAGGTGAATCCCTCATGGATCTTTTAGTATTCCTATTTCACAGCTGCGTTAATCAGAAATGTGAAGAAATATTTCTGTTGTCACACATTGATGGAGTGCTGTCCTCAAAGTTGGTCCTYTTTCTACAACTTTAACCCATTTACATCCACATCTCTATCCTCCAGCCACTAGTATGATTCCTATGAAGACTCTGTTGGCAATTGCCTTTTGTACACTAAAAATCTTCAGCATTTTTTTATACCCTTCTTCAGTGAGAATAGAGATTATAGTTTTAGGCAGTTCAGAAAATTCAGTTCCAGGTGAGATCATGCATGCTACCTAGTAGTTGCGTAACCTCTCTTTGAAAATATGGTTATTTGCCTTTTTGATCACTGACTCCAAAGGTGTGTTTATTCATGGAGTTTCTGAATGTTGTAAAATGTTGCTTTTTACAGAAGGAATACAAGAAAGACCTAGAGTCCAAAATTAAGGGCAAGGGAATGCAGGTTGGCACTGACAGCCTTGAATTCCAGCGTGCCAAAAAAGCTACAGAGATCGTCAGTGAGGTAAGCAGACAGCTCCCACCAACCTTGAAACTCGTCTTTTTGAATTCAACAGATCAGATCAGCAAATCAGTTAGTACATGGGATTTCTTAAAGCCTTGGGTCTGGTTGACAGTTTGGAATGGAAACCATTTCAAATCTTTATGTTTGTTCAAAAATTTATAGTTTTTGCTTTGCTCATAGMCTTTAAATACATTCAAGGAAGCTCGAGAAAAAGCATTTTAATAAGATAAGGTCACATAGACACATATTCCCTATAACCTTTATTATGTAATTCAACAAATTTCGTGTTCATCTGGGATATGATAAATGTTTTCAGAGTATGTTTTCTTTAGGATGGATCATATTCTTCTAGTCATAGTTATATTTCCAACCTACTGAGAAAAACTTGAAAACCTCTTATTACGTGAGAATAGTAGCCATTTCTGTGAGATCACACATCCCTAAAATATCCTCCCTTGATTTCACCATGCCTGAAATTACTAGAGTTAGCATTTGGGCTTGAGGCATTAGTCATCCTGAAGGACCATATTTAATCATCCAGTACARTTTTCCTCTTCACATAATACAGGTAAAGACAGAATATTGATTTAGAAGGTTTTTTTTGATGCTATGATATGATAGATATCATAGAACAGAGTTATAGGAGTTTGGAATGTCCAGACCATGGACATTTTCAAAGGAAATGCCCTAGATTGGACTCACCTCTTGAACTTCCTCAGCAATTCAAGGGTCACTGGAGCAGCAGTGGTCAGGATGAGGTGATTCTGTAAGAAATATATGTGGAGAGAGAGTGGGGTGCAAGTTAAGGGGTGGGACTCACTCACCTGAAGGCAGTTAGGTTGGGACGTCAGTGAGGCTGCTCAGAGAGTTTGTTTGGGACTCCTGAAGTTAGACACAGCTGACTCAGGATTGACTCCTACCCTGGAAATCCTGGAGAGCCAGACGTAGCTAATTTACCCACCATGGAATTCCTACTCCTTGGGGTGCTACCTAACTCCTAGGGTTAGGCACTTTCCAGGGAAATGAGATTGCCATGATTGGTTTAGACAAAGCACTGGGAGATGGCACAGGATTCCTGACTAGCAAGGTCTCTGCTTAGAAATGGCAGCTGGGATGGTAGTGGGAGGATGCTGAGTAGAGACTTGAAAACTTTCTCTGTCTCCTCCCCTAATTCTGTTCTCCTCCTGAGAGTTATTGTTATAAGTCGTAGAGCCTCCCACATTTGTTTTTATTTATATAAAGTTGTACACATTAGACTTTAAAAAAAACCCTAAATGCAGTCACACTGTAATCTTTGTCCTATGTTCATTTTCCCCCCATTCATTTACTGTTATGGTCCTTTTCCCATGTCACTTCATATAGGTCTCCTCCATTCTTATAAAAAATTATGTTCTATATCATGAAGATGAATGTGTGCCCATTTACCCTTTGTGGTCCACATGGATTGTGTATAATGAGATCTCAACATTAGATGYCAAAACCAAAACCCTTAGCTTCTCACAGGTTCTCTTCCTGTCGTTATCAAATGACACCAAACAAATCTTAGAAGTCCCTTTGATTCCTCTCATTGCAAGTTATTGACTTTACTCCATAATGGTGTTCTAAATACATTGACTTCTCCCTGCCTCATCAAAGCTGTCATCTCTGTCCCCAGGGTCTTAAAATAGCTTCTTAACCAGAATTCTGTTTCCATGCATGCCCTCTTATATACATTTTTAATAATAATAATAATAATTTCACAATTCTCTAAATTTTTTCTTATTATGAGGAGGGAGTTACTGGACTAGAGCATGGGATGAGGGGTGTGAGAATTTAGGGGTTGGGAAAAAGCATTTGAAATCGTCCTCATGGGAGATGAGAGATGAAGGAAACTGAAAGTGTCCTTTCCCTGAGAAAAGATATTTTGTATTTCACCCTTTTGCCTAAGAGCAGGCTTCTAAGACATAGGCCTTTTCCAGAAAATTGGTATGTTTTAGCATTAGGTTTTTCCTTAGTGTGTTCATTAGTTTGCTCAACAGTATGCTGGTTTTGGTTTTCTCTTTGTTCTTTGAGACTGTATGCTAGGAAAATAATGCAAAATTAGTCATTGGGAACCWGGAGAAAGATAGGCTCAGAGGAATCACCTGTATTGTGTTTATATTTTAATCACAGACATGTCTTCTTTTGCCAAACAAACAGACTCTCAAGTCCTTTTCAACCAATGTATGGTACTTGCCATAGTTTATTTTTAATACTCAAGGTTTATTTTTCAAGTAGTCAATGTAGTATATTGTTATACCAGTGAACCCCAATAGTCAAACCTTCCTGTACCCATGGGCCTGACCATGGGACTTTCTTTACCAATGGGACATTGGCAAACATGATTGCAACGGAGGTTCTAAAGCGCTTATGCCTTAAGGGTTTTCCTCTGGAAATGTAGATGTCATCATGCTGTTGTTTTAACTCTTCTAAGCTTTTGTTATACAACAGTAACAACTGGTGTAATCAGTGCCTAATATAGTCTGTGTGCTTTAGAGCATCTTTAGATTTATTAGAAAATTGAATGATGTACCTCTACTATGCAATTTGGTGGCTTTTTGTTTGTTTGTTTGTTACTAGGGGCTGAACCCACCAGTGCTTACTCTAGTTCTTTCTATTTTGTATTTTGAGATAGGATCTTGCTATATTGCTAAGGGTCTAGCTAAGTTGCCCAGGCTGGCCTTGAATTTGTGATCCTCCTGTCTCAGCCTCCGAGTCACTGGGATTACAGGTGTGCACTTGTCACACTGAGCTTGTTTTGGGGTTTAAATAGGCTTACTAGAAACAGAGAGCTTTTTAGACATCTAGTTATAGGTGTCTATTTTATTATAAAATTAAACGTTACTACTTGAACTTTTGTTTAGAAAAGTAAAACCGAGAGTCTGTTAAAAAACAAATGGGGTTAATTAGTAAAAGACCGGGAAAATACAGGATTTAACTAAGATTGAGATTTGTTTATAATTTATTTAAGGTCTTTTTTTTTTTTTTTTTTTTTTTTACTGAATTACATCCCTAGCCTTTATTTTATTTTTTTGAGTCTGGCCTTGAATTTATGATCCTCCTACCTTAGCATCCTGAGTAGCTGGGATTACAGGTGTGTGCCACCATACGAGTCCTTACTTAAAGTTTAAAAGTTCTTAAATACAATTTATTTAAAAATTTTAAACAAGTTATTTCGAACATCACAAATTAGCAAATTAGCAGTTATTTTAAAGCAGTGAATCTACAAGTCTTAAGTATATCAACATAATAGGAAATATTGTTTTGGAAGAAATTTAATTGGATGTAGTTAATGGTTTTGGAAATAAATTATTTTAAAGAATAGCATTCAGAAATCACAGACATGAAAGTGTACAGCTTGCTGAATTTTATATCAGTTATAAAACGTGACAAGAGCCCCTTAAGACGTGCACGTCTGTAATTATAGTGCACATTATGTAAATTACATAAATTTTAGACAGTAATAGAGAATCCAAATCAAGCTGGCTTTTAGGAAAACAGGTAATTTATTGTTCTTATGATTGAGTATTGGAGGGATTCTTCGCAATGGCTTGATCTAGGACTCAAATCCAGTCATTCGCTACATGATGACTTTTGGTCAATAATGAACCATGTATACAACCATGGTGGTCCCACAATATTATAAGGGAGCTGAAAAATTCCTATAACCCAGTGACATGTAGCCATCCTAATGTCCTAGTGCAACAAAAATTATAGCACATCCAGTTATGTTCAGTACACATTTTTTTTTTTTTTTGGTAGTGGAGATTGAACCCAGGAATGTTTTAACCACTAAGGTATATCCCCAGTCTTTTTTATTTATTTATTTTTTTGAGACAGGGTCTCACTAAGTTGCTTAGGTCCTCACCAAGTTGCTGAGGCTGGCCTTGAACTTGTGATCCTCCTGTCTCAGTCTTCTGAGTTGATGGGATTACAGGCATGTGCCACCATGCCTGGCCATTATTCTTGATAATGATCACAATCATTACTGGTTTATGTATGAACTTAATACTGTACATCTTATTGTTATTTTAGAGTGTGCTCTTTCTGCTTATTAAACAAATTACTATAAAACAGCATGTTTTTATGCCAGCAGCAGCCTCATATCTGGTATTTACTGAGATTCTGGATTGCATCCTTTTCTCTTATATTTGATTTAATCTTATGTTCTTTTGCTCTTCATGGCCTTGGGGGCAACAGGCTAGGTCACAGAGCTACTATATTGCTCAGGTGTGTAGTAGGCTATACCATCTAGGTCTGTGATGAACACTTTAAGATGTTCACACAACCATGGAATTGCCTAATGGAACATTTCTCAGAATGAATCCCCATCATTACACAATATAGAACTGTAATGTGATTTAAGTTCAGTTTCTCATTTTCAGTTCTCAGGTTTTCTTCTTTTGTTTGCAAAGAAACTTCCAGCAGCTCCAGGGCTGAATCCTTCTTCATTTATGTCCAGAAGGAAAGAGAAAGTCCTTTCTGAGCTCTTCCACTGAAAAAGAAGTGCACCTACCCCTGAACCAATCATGGAGGCTAGGGATGGGGTGTAACCATTCATTTAAGCCCCATAGTGCCCAAGCACTTGAGCCAACCTCACTTTAGAATGRGGAACAGCAAGTTGCAGCAATTGTGAAAAGCAACAATTTACGATCACTTCTTATTGCTATTTATCAATTAGTTATATACTTACCAACAATTTATCAAATTTATTACATTGAAATACAAAATTTCCTCCTACCTGGCTCATTTTTTTTTTTAAATTTAGGCATGTAGACAAAAGCCTTCAGATTACTTATGACTAAGTCACTCCATATCATGTTTCTACCATGAGTTAAACTTTCTTGTCCATTAAAAGACAAGAAGAAATAAAGGTCCAACTTAATTCTATAGGACTTGGTCCTGGTTCAAAGTGACATCACGGTTTTTTTAGCACTGTTTTTGGAATGGTTGCAGAACACTAACAGTGTGTTTCATTTTCTGCAGAAAGACTATAAAAGAGATCTGGAGACTGAAATTAAAGGGAAAGGAATGCAAGTCAGCGCAGAGACTCTTGATGTGCAGAGGGCTAAGAGAGCCTCAGAGATGGCCAGCCAGGTGAGGAGGCAGCAGACGCCAAGTTTCAGACAAACACACAGAGTCCTCTCACACAGAGTCCTCTATAGAATTTCCAGAGCATAAATGTGACTTCCAGTTGGGTGGCTTTGATGTTCAGATACATAAATACCTACCTTGTTATCAAAGGTAAAGCAAAGCACTAAGACGAATTTCTGTTCTTCTAGAAGCAATATAAGAAAGACTTAGAAAATGAAATTAAGGGGAAAGGAATGCAAGTGAACGTGGATATCCCAGATATGCTTCGAGCCAAGAGGGCGTCTGAAATCTGTAGCCAGGTTGGTAAAGAACACAGAAATTTAGAATAATGTCCTCTAATATCCAGTCACCATGTGCTTCAAGTATCTTTATGATTTGTACATTTTTGAAGGCATTGCAAAGTCAATACACTCTGTTATTAAGAAATCATTGGCCAAATTTAATTAACCTTACTAATTAAAAGGACAACTGTTTTTTTTTTTTTTTTATTCAATTCAGGAGACTTATGGAAGCCAAAGGCCCCCTGGCCCCTGTTTTGAGTCCAAGAACATTTTGACCTTTTTTTTGGGACTCTGTTACATACTTGGCTTGAATGTTCTTTGCTCATTCTACAGAAACGTAATTCCAAAGAATTATGTCTTTTGACCACTTCATAGTGAATAGTCCATTGTATTAAAATATTCAGCTCCAAATCAAATGACGGTGGCTAAAAATGCACAAGGTATCAATCAAGTGAAATTTAATATGAAGTAAAAATTAAGAACTAAGCTTTCTTGGTAAAATTTATATTTGCCAAGTATACCTTACCTGTCACATATCCTTAAAAAATGTGAAAGAGACAATGACCTCAGAAGTAAATATGTATGGAAGAAGAAGAAGTTGCTTACAAAATCTGATTTGGACAAGAACTTCCATTAATGATTAGTATTTTTGCTGTAATATTTATATAGAAAAGAATGCATCCCAATGGAAAAAATAGTAGAGGGAATGAAAAAAATTAAATGTTATAGAAAATTTGATTAATGGAATTGTTGAAAGTGATTTTTGACAAAGTTTTGTCAAATTTGTTAATATTCTGGTTAAAAAATAAGCAAGAACCCTAAACATCAACTGGTTCAAAATGGCAGCATCAAGATGGCAGAGTCCAAATGTCAAAGTATGTTTCTCAACTTCCTCGGAATACAGCAACCAGGATGGTCCTGAAGTGCATGCTTTCCTTCCTGTCCTCGTGTTCACCTCTTCACATACTAAATTTACATATTTGCATGCAAAATTAGATAGTTTTGCCCTTGGGGATCTCCAGGCTAAAATCAAACAAAGTATCATGAACCATGATACATACTACCTGAAAGCAGAAGAATCCAGGGTAAAGGTTTCCCAGAGGAAGCAGTTCCTCAGCTGTCAGATTTCCTGCCTGAAGCATTGAATTTTTGAGTGTGCCACTAGAGTACATCAGAATTTAAGGGATTTTAAGTGCTTGAGGCTACAGTGAAATCCTTAAGAGATTGGAATGACACAGTGCTGCAGTTCAACAGGAACAGCAGTTACTTTCCTTAACAAGCAGCATGCCATCATAGTTAATGAGGGCATACTGCTTGTTCACTAACCAGAGTCCCTGACTTTCAACCCTAGCTCTGACACTGACTACCTGGTATATGATACAGATGGGGATAACAATAGGTACTGCTTGTGGGATTGGTTAACTAGGTAAATGGGTGTTGAGTATTTAGAATAATATCTGATACATAGCAAGTGTTATGTGTGTGCTGGTGCAAAGTATAAATATTGCCCAGGTTTTATTGGAATTTATTGTAGTTCATTGGGTGGGTAGAAAATTGAAATCCTTAAAATCTTAACTATAAAATATTAGTATGTTTTTCCCCAATCATAGATCTTTATCTAAAGTAGAAAGCAAAGCATAAATCTGGAAGCATGTAGAAAAGTAGATATGGAGATCCAGACTATGTGGAGCAGGGCCTGAGGTGCTCCTGGAAGAACAGGTCTTAAGTTTAGGAAGAGCATAGAGGTGAGGCCCTCTGAAGTGTTGGAACCAACTGGAATGGGGCCATATTCTGACGGAGGTGAGGCTGACCCACTTGATGGTTTGCTCACTGCCTTTATTTTTGCTGCTGTGTCAACAACTACTTTGAATCTTAAGATATGACTTTGAGTCATGTGGGAATGGAGGAGTGGGAAGAAATGGTACCATTCTTTCCCTTCCTCTCTGTCTCACACACAAAGTATCAGATTTGTATTACTTTTTATTTTTAGAAAAAGTACAAAGATGAAGCAGAGAAAATGCTTTCTAACTATTCCATTGTGGCAGATACTCCCGAAATTCAGAGAATTAAGACAACTCAACAAAATATTAGTATGGTGAGTAGCGATTACAGGTTGAGTATCCCTTATATGCAGTGCTCGGGACCAGATCTATTTTGGATTTTTAAAAATTTTGTAATATTTGCAAGTACATAATGAGATATGTTGGGGAAGGGACCTTAGTCTAAACATGAAATTAACTTCATTTGTTTCTGTACATATAGACTGAAGGTAAATTTTATATCATACTTTAGAGGCACTGGTGTTTTGACTACAACCCATCACATGAGGTTAAGTATGGAAGTTTCCCACTTGTTGACACTCAAAAAGTTCTAGATTTTAAAGGATTTTGGAACTTTGGATTAGAGATGCCTGATCTGTATTTCTTTTCAGTTGTTTGTTGAAATTTTATATTTTATAAGGAATGGGCCTTTTCTCCTCATTGTCTTTTGTGTGTGTGTGTGTGTGTGTGTGCGCGCGCGTGTGTGCATGTGTGTGTGTGTGCGTGTGTGTGTGTGTGTGTGTGTGTGTGTGTGTGGTATATTTGAGTTGTTCCATCAAATGTATTTTCTTTACTTCTTTAAAAGTACCAGGTATTCTCAGAAGTTATGACTAGTTATGATTGTTTTGGAATTCCAGATTCAAATTTTATATTAGGTACAAGTGACAATTGTTAACTGAATTTTATAAGTTTAACTCAGGAAATAAGTTGAAATCTTCCATACAGATTTTACCTGGAAGATGAGAATAGTCACATGTAGTGATTTTCTTTCTGCTCTTTGATTAGTTGCATGGATACTATATCTGGAGGTTTACTGGTTCATAACTCACTCATAGACTTTCATATTATTATTTTGAGAAATAAAATTACATCAACTGTGTTCACTGAGATTGGGCCTAGGTTTAACAGATGTATGAACCTGAATTCTATTCTAAAATTGTAAAAGTTGGCCAGTCATTTTCATAATGTAGCATTGTCAAGTGTCTAATAAAAAATGTAAATTCTATTCAGTTTCAGGGTTTTTCCACTTCCTAAATTAATTGGCCAGCTTTAGCTCTCAGGGTGTGTTGCTCAGGTACACAAGAGGGCATGCTATGCTGAGAAATGGAAAATTCTCACTGGAAGGATCAGAGGATGAGGCTGTTTTTGCATTTTGACTTCTATGATTTTATGGCATTCCAGAGTTTTAGCTTTGGTGGTGGAGGGGAGTGGGGGTGCAAACATTTTTCATGCCATATTCTTCCTCTTTCCCTGGGATTCACTGGATTACCAAATGTCAAGAAGTGGAGTAATTCTGTCATGGGCTTTTCTTAGAATTACTGGTTTTCAGTTGAGCACGTTTGCTTTTTGGTGTGCTTTGTGTCTGAAAGGGGTAGATGTTGGTAAGGATGGAGAGACATGGGGGAAAGTTAATGAATAAGGAAGAGGAGGAAAATAGACTTTGAGTGAATTGCTATTGACGATAGATAGAGCTAATATTTTCTTGGAAGAGAATAAGGGCATCCTTAAGCTTGGAAGGATGGTGATAGTTTAAAATTTTATACCACTTTTGAACCAAATGCTAACTGCTTAGTGAGCTTTTTATAATGTATGTTTTGATTTTTCTCAAATATGCACGTGACATAATCTGCAGCCAGCAAATGTACCTATCATGCTGTAGAGCAAGTATTAGAGGGTTGCTTGTAAGGTTGTGGGATATGAAACCCACGTTAGACTTTTATTATGATGATGGGTTATTTAATCGATTCATATAATGTTGGTACTCATAAATAGAAGCAGCACTCACAGAACTATAAAACTGAAAAATGGGTTTTCTTTTATAACAGTAGGACTTAGGACTTGAATTCTAATAAGCTGATAGTCTTCCTTTTCTTTCCTTTATAATAAAGGTATTTTATAAGGAAGAAGTAGGAGCTGGCACAGCAGTAAAAGGTACTCCAGAGATGGAACGAGTGAAGAAAAATCAGCAAAATATTAGTTCAGTAAGTTCTTGATCGAATTAACTATCCTTCCTGGAAGCAAATGGAAGCTAGATAAACATTTCTAGTTTTTTACTGAGCCAGCTGCTTTTCCCTTTTCTACCTCCGCTTTACCGAAATAAGATTTCATCAAATATCAAAGGCCTAACTTTCAGAATGAAAACTGTGGTCTTGTTCCCCTCAAACCTGCAACAGCATTTCATTTTGATCAATCAGAGTAAAGAGCACATAGGTCATTTTAATGAAATCTGGGATTATGTTTCATCTTTTGGAACAGAATTTTCATTGTATTAAATTGTGTAGAGAAAGGATGCATTTAGTACCTCCCTAGTACTTGGAGGCAAGAAACTTTATACCCTGATAGAATGATCAAAGGATCTAAAACATTTATTTAGTGACTTCAGTGAAGGTTTAGATTAAAAAAAAAAAGAAGAAGAAGAACTGGGGTTGTGGCTCAGCAGTAGAGCGCTTGCCTTCAATCCTCAGCACCATATAAAAATAAATAAAATGAAGGTATTGTGTCCAACCAGAAAAAAGAATACCAGTTCATTTTTACCCATGTTGGTCACGTTTATGTGCTTTTTCTCACACATATGCCYATATTTCTGTTTCTAGCCTCATTTATTCTCTATTTTTCTCAGCAAAGAAAACCACATGCCTTCACTATAAATTGTAAAATAACTTACCCTCCAACTACTTTTGGATGGAGGAAAGGCTGGAAGAGGTGCTTAATGTTTTAAGTTAAATTTTCTTCCATTCTGTGCTTGACATTTACAATGAGTAATTGCTATCCTCACTGATAGGTACTCTTTCATGTGCATTTAATACATTGGTTTATTATTAATGAAGTAAAAACAGATTCTTTCCTTAAATTCCCTATCTCTTCATCTTCACTCCTGGAGACACTACCTTCCAGAACTTTTCTTTAAGTAATCCAGGTATAACTGCCTTGATGAGACCCATCTAAGGGTAACTGGTAGTTTTGCGGCTTCCTGAGATCAAGAGTGTGTGCTTGGGGCTGGGGATGTGGCTTAAGCGGTAGCGCGCTCGCCTGGCATGCATGCGGCCCGGGTTCGATCCTCAGCACTACATACCAACAAAGATGTTGTGTTCACCGAGAACTAAAATAAATAAATAAATATATATATAAAAAAAAGAATGTGTGCTGGCATTTCTGGAGAAAGTGTAGGAGGGGTAAAGTGATGCTGTAGTAAAATGCACTTTAAAATGAAATTCTAAAACTTGTGCAGAATGCTATTGCAATAAAACCTTTGTAGCATGAATGAACCTATTTCCTGGAGAAGGCTGGGCCTGGAGGCTGGAGGTGTTAATGAGTGCATATGAACGTGGTGCTCTGATCCCCGCATCGGGACCCCGCATCAGACAGCACTCAGATCGGGCAGAAAAAATTAGTCTGGGAAAAGAAACTTAAAATGTTTATTTCCTTCGCTTCCAAATGATAATATTTGAAATGTACCTATCAATGTACTGGGATATAAATGTTCTGTAGTGTGTGATTCTATAGCCTACAGTGAAATGACAGTGCCATTTTGATTAGTTTAGAGCTCTATGAAAAACTAAAATGTTCATCTTTAATCATGTTGAGCTTCTCACCCGGGGAAAATCACACAAAGTAGTACGGTATATCATTTCTTCCCCCAGCACCCCTCAGCCTCTTCTAGCAGACAGTAAATGCATAGCTCTGTATCTCGGAGGTTGGGCCATAAACTCCTGCTTAGTATTCAAATGGAAAGTTGCCCTTTCAAGATTAGCCAGATCTGTCAAACTGAGAGGTGATTCACTAACATTTAAACATCTCGACATTTTCCACCTCCGAGTACAAGCCTTTTCACTATTAGCTCTTTGCTAAGAACCGCTTTTGAATTTTATTTAGAAGTCCTCTGTCTTGGTGAACTTCCAATTTAACTGTTTCGGGTCTGGACTCATAGTGGCATTGTGACTAGTGCTAAATCCACAGGTGCTAAGACATAGATGACCTCTGAGGTATTGAGGCATGTGTTCATTATGACAGTCAACCTGAGTTGCAGACTTGGTCATTTTTAAATATCACCAAGTGATTTCTAGAACATATTTTGTGTCGATTTAAGTCTGCTAAATTTCAACTTGTGCTCCTTAAGTGTAGCCTGTGCTGCCTTATATATAACAGGGGCACGTGTTCTTTTTCTTGAACCCAATCTTCCATGAATTTTTGGAGATATTAAAATACTGCCTAAAATGAGGACCCCCCACTGATCATGTTGTAAGTTTAAAGAGCTATTTCTTGCCATGTGCATCACTGTGTRCTAGTGTTGATCTGCTGGTAAACATATTTGACAGGGCAGCTTTGGGATGAAGTGGATGCCAGGATACAGGGACTTTTACCTAACACGACTGCTGGGGGAAGACACTTCTRGTCTTTCTGGCACTGACCTTATAGTAATCAGGACACACTGGTCTATGTATGCTTTCAGTACAGTTCCCTCCACCTCCCCTTTTCTCTTCTTCTTCTTCATCTTTTTTTTTTTTTTGGTGTGATTGCTTTATCTCCCCCACCCCCATTCTGGATTATTTTGTATGCTCTCAGTCCAAGCAGTGTTCCCAAGACACTATGGCTAACTCAGTTTGACTTTTGCCTTTAAATATGTGTTAAACTCTAATTAACATATTGATAAATTGAAACTGATTTTCAATAGAAAATAATAAACTATTGTTATTATTAATTTCCAAGTTCTTTTGTGCATCTGCCTAATCATATATATTTTTTAATGTTTATAAGCAACATTTGCTTATTTTAATTAAGGAACTTCTATAGTGGTGGATTGGTGAATAGATATAAATTTACTTGTATTTCAGGATAAAGAAATCCTGAAAGCATCAGATAAAATAAAAAAACTGTGTTCCCATTAAAGGGAAAGTAGTATTGGAATTAAAAACTTCAATTATGTAAGAGTTACAAGTAAAGAACGCTTAAATATTTTTTTAAAGTTTTGTGTCAAATACAATTAATACTATATTTTTATAAATTATTCAGGTGAAATACAAAGAAGAGATTAAACATGCAACAGCCATTTCTGATCCTCCAGAGCTAAAGAGAGTTAAAGAAAACCAGAAGAACATCAGCAATGTGATTATATTTCCTTAAGTATTTTTTTCTATTTTATAGAATGCCAATATACAATGAATGTATGGACCTGTGCAGATAAACTCTCACTAGAATGTATGCCATTGCAACAGGGTCATTCCTTCAAAGTGCAGATAGCATTTCACACATCTTTATGTCCTCCCCATACACAGCCAATGCTTCATGGGCTTTTGCTATTAAGGGTCTATTTGTTCTTGTTCTTGGGGGAATTTGAAGGTGAGATACACTGTAAGGTCAGGGTTTGGGGTGGTGGATATACTCAAGGTCTCTAGAAGAGACAGACATGGAATAAGTAACTGTTGTGCATTGTTTAATTGCTAGCACAGTAGTCTTTATTGAGTGATCACTATGCTTTCTGAGTACTCTCCATGCACTCTCTCATTTAATCAAGAGAAATAATACCTCTTGAAAAGTGCTATGGAAATGCAAAGAAGGAAAGCAATGTCAGGAGCAGCCTTGGAGAAGGAGTAACATTGGAGTTAGATCTTGAAGAATTCATCATGGTTTGGGTTGTATTTTGTGAGGAAGGACTTTTTTCTTATAAACCTATTATGTTCAGGCTCCAAGGCTCCAAGAAAGAGAGGAAAAGTAGGATGAGTAACTGGGATGAGGGGTGACAGGGGATGATGGTGGAGAGGGGAGCTGTCTTAAAAGTGATGGAGTTATAGCACCCAGTCCCTGGGTTTTTCTATCATGTGACATGTGGCAATTGAGATAGATATCAAGTGCCCCGGGGTACCCCGTCCATGACTTAGTGATTATATTGTTTTAATGTACATCTTCTTCTAAAAGAAGAGTAACTTCTTTTAGAAGAAGAAGTACATTTAAAGAATATAATTAGGATAGACATTTAACACTATCTTAAAACAACCTTATTTTTAAAAAATAAGCTGGGCATGGCAGCATATCCCTGTAATCCCAGTGGCTCAAGAAGCTGAGGCAAGAGGATTGCAAGTTCAAAGCCAGCCTCAGCAACTCAGTGAATCCCTACCTCAAAATAAAATATAAGAAGGGCTGGGGATGGATCTCAGTGGTTAAGCACCTCCAGTTTCAATCTCAGGTACATATATATATATATATATATATATATATATATATAAATATATAAATATATATAGTTAATGAAAAGTAATGCTATAAATAATAGCATAGGTATATGCTATAGGTGTGGCATCAGAAAAATGGTGTGCAAAGGGCAGAAACTGAAGATAGGAATATGGACCCTATATAGTTGGTTTGACCCCACTCCAGACCTTATTTGCAGTATAAGCCATCTGGCCCTGGAAGCCCTAATTTCCTCATCTATAAAACAGGGATTAGAGTATTTAGGAAATATTACTGTAAAGCACATGGAATGTTTGCCACCAATAGAGATTAGACTGAAACTTTCCTCATTTTAATTAAATCATCTTAAGTCACAGAAATCTTCCTAAGCTCTCACACTACATATCATGGCACAAAGAAAGCCTCTCATTGAGAACTTCCAAAGAGGTTACATTAGAAGGAACCCAACCCTTTTTTGTGTATTTTCCAAGCTTCTCAAACTTCTTTTCCTTTGCCTTTTCACTTTGGAGAAACTGCATTTCAAGTTCATGTTACCTGCAGGTGTCCCACGCTCAATTTAAACTCTGAAAAAAATMATTAAGATTGTCCCTGTGGCGTTTCTTGCAAAGGGATTTCAACATCTAACTCTGCTTTTGCCAGTCAAAAATTCATTTGACACACGCCATTGTTTCTCTGTGTTTGATGCTCATTTATTTMTTGTGGTGTTGTGGAATCGCTGAGAAAGCTGACTACAAACAATGGAATCTTATCCCCCAGCTAAGAAGGAACACTTCTGTGTAGCAGGTCAAAAAAGTTTCCATAATGCTGGGTCAGAGGGTAGGCATTCCAGTGTCGGAACTTTACAGACAAGAGAAGCTGGAGGCTTATGGTTTCTTTAATACTGCAGTCAGACCCAGAAGTGGACACCTAGGATTTGTGTGGACACCTAGGATTTGCTTGTTTTTGTTTTTCTTTTGTACCAGGGATAGAACTCAGGGGGACTTGACCACTGATCCACATCCCCAGCCCTATTTTGTATTTTATTTAGACACAGGGTCTCATGGAGTTGCTTAGCACCTCGCTTTTGCTAAGGCTGGCTTTGAACTCTCCATCCTCCTGCCTCAGCCTCCAGAGCCACTGGGATTACAGGTGTGCACCACCATGCCCAGCCTTCTCCCTCCTTCTTAAAGATAAGAGTGCACAATCATTATTTTTAAATATAAGATGGTAATTTGATAAACACTTCAGTGCTATGAAGCAACAAATTCACAGAAGAGACAATTCCTTATTATGGTTAAGATCAAACTCAGGTGGGCCACCAATAAATAATACAGTTGGAAGAATAGCAATGAAAGGTTAAATTACAACATTTGACACAATTAAAGGCTTAATTTAAAACATTTGACAAAGAAAATTGGAGACAGTAGGATCATTACAAAAAGATGCAGTCAATTAGCAATACATGTTTCACTGTAAAATCCTAATGAAGATTCTACTGATGAGTGCCCTGTGGCCACCTGACATTTCTATTAATCAGTCCCAACATATTGATTCACATTGGTTTCCTGTAATCCCAATGCATTTTTCACCTTGTCCTCCAGCTCCAGTATAAAGAGCAAAACTATAAGGCCACTCCAATAAGCATGACCCCAGAGATAGAGAGGGTGAGGCGAAACCAGGAGCAGCTGAGTACGGCAAGTAGTTTCTGTTTTCTTTTATAGTTTATTGAAAAGTCCATTTTCTTATTTTTAAAAAATGCTCTCTGTGATGGCTTTAAACACATTCGAATGCTCCTTTACCCAGTCACACATTGAAGGGCACTATGATTGTTTCATGTAAGTCCTGGAATCTTGGGAGTATGAATTAAGTAGCCAWATGTGCCAGGCATAGTCCTGACCATTGGAACACAAGACCCGGGGCCTATCCTTGTGAGTCTCCTAGTTTATTAGTAAATCTTTGAAAATGTGTTAGAAGAGGGACCTGGAGAGCAGGATCTATTGACAATTGTGGGAAAGAAAATATATCTATTAGAATAGGGTAAGGGAAATCCTGCTTCATTGGCAAGGGACCTTAAGGACAAAATGGAAAACCATTATTTAACTCTTCTTAATCTATTGAGAGTAAAGCACTGATAGCTATCAATTATGAGGCACCTCTGCTCTGGGCTGGACCCTGTGCTAATATTTTATGTGAACCTGTGAGTTCAGAATTATTCGTTTCTCTGACGGGTGGACATGGGAAACCGAGTCTGGAGATCTGTGGACACGCCAGGGACTCACAGCGGGCAGGAGGAGAGCTAGAATTTGAACCCCAGCCTCTTGATAGCCAGAAATACCTTCTAAGGACCCCCCAATAGTTACTTTTTAATTTTTTTGCCCTTTTATGGAGTTTTCCCCCAATATAAACAATAGGTATTTTCTTTTAAAGGCTTCATTATTTAAGAGCATGTTGCCCCAGGTGGAGGAGAAAAATCAAGCTCAACCTTATTTAWCCTTCTCATGTCCCTGGAAGGTGGATGAAGTAAGAGATCTTTTGAAAGGAGAAGCTCCAGGGTCAGAGGGAAAGTAAAAGACCTTCCCACGTGTTCTATTGTCCTGATTTCCTTCTGGAGTTTTCTAAGCATGGTCCTGTATATTTCTATTACTTTCATCTGTGRAATTCGCAGTTAGTTTTGACATGGAACAGCCAAGTATTTACTGTCAACTCCTTTTTAAACAACATAACCAACACTCTGTGGTTGCCAAGTTAGACCAATTAGGATCTAGAAGTAGATATCAACAGGAAGGTTGACGTAGAGGTACTAGTAAAAAAAAAAAAAGTGTCTAAAAGGTGAATTTTGAGTCTTGTCCTCTGTGTCTGTTCTTCTATCCATTAAACTAGATTTGTTCTTCATTCTCTAAGGAGAAAAAAAATTCTTATTTTTCCTCCACAGGTAAAATACAGAGGAGAGATTAAACAAGCAACTGCCATTTCTGACCCACCAGAGCTGAAGAGAGTGAAAGAAAATCAGAAGAACCTCAGCAATGTGGGATCCTCTCAGTGATTTTTTTTTTTTTTGTTTAAGATATCAAATGTCATGCCCATATGTAGGTGAAGGGACTATAGTTCCACGTTTTCAAAACTTTGAGTTGATATTCTGTTCTCAGTGGCTTAAGAACTTCCCTGAAAGAATTCAAGGTCCCAGGTGATGCGGGATTCCCTGTGCCACGCCATGATGATTTTTTCCCTATGGGTTGTGGATTKTCCTTATTTTGTCTACATGCTGATCGATGCTGTGGTTCCCTCAAAGGGAGGCAGAGTTACTTTCTGTCATCCTGCCCTAAAATCACTCTCTCCCACTCTCTTTTTGAGTTGCATATGTTCTTATTCTCCAGCCTCTGGCCAGCCCCATTTCCCACTCTCTCTGATTATTATTACTGTATTTCTGGACAGTGTCCTGGGAGAAATGATAAAGTGTGCTTGGTTGAACAGAGCACAGGAAACAGGGCCAATTTACGGCCCCTTGAACCAAGGCTGGCAGTTTTTACTTAGACACTGACTGGTGGCCTGCTCTAATTYCCCTTTATTTATATAATCCACGGATGCAGTTCATCCAGAGAAATATTCTTTTCTGAAGTCATTAACATATAGATTGGGTTCTTTGGAAAAGAAAATTTGGAAATCTATTGTATTCAAAGAAATCTTTTATTCTTCAAACACTTAAMGTCATTTGGCCAGTTTATGAAGCAAAGGCGGGTTATGGTTTGATACTTTTCCTAGCAACTATATTTTGGAGAAGTTAGATGTTCATCTTGTCCTTGATGTGACCTCATTACTTTCAACCAGGAACATAGTTATCGAGAAGGAGGAATAGAGGACTGGGAAGCATGCTAGCCTTCTTATGGATGACCACAGTCACCTGTTTAAACACATCCTTATAAAAAGTTCTACCATAGTTAATTCCTAAGAAACCACAACTGTGTAGGGCCATTCTATATGGGCAAGAGGATCTGTAAGTAATATCCATGAAGATAGCTCTCATAGTCCTCCGTGATTGAAGGCTTACTATAGATTTACTGATGCTGTGCCCATATATTTGAGTATGTCCACAGTGATTCAGACAAATGGATACTATTATGGTATGAAATAAACTTAAAGAAAATAGATTCTTAAAGAATCTTAAAGATGAGCAAGTTAAGTATGACGAGACTCCTGATAGTATGCCTTTTTTTAAAAAAATAGATTTTCTTTCTTAGATAACTCTTTAAAAATAAGCAATGMTAGCCTCCTGTTTAATGGAATTGATTCACAGTGCTCTACTTTTTTGTTCTCTGAAATGACAGGTTTATTATAAAGGTCAGTTGGGAAGAGCTACGGCTTTAAGTGTAACTCCTGAAATGGAAAGAGTAAAGAAGAACCAAGAAAATATTAGCTCGGCAAGTGGTTTTATTCATTTTGGACTATCACAAAGGACATGTCCTTTACTTGCAGTCTATTTTTTTTTTCCTCGTGAAAATAAACTTGTGATATTTCCTTTAAGTACATGTGTTATTTCAAATGACTTCCAAAAGCTGCCACTGTACAAATTTACATTATCCTTCCGTCCTTCAATAGTATTTCCAGATGTGACTGACAGTTATATTTACAGTTTATTTAAACAACACTTCATGTTATTTTAGCTAGAATCTTTGAAAATGATAAAGTCTTGGATGCATAGGTTAAATAATTGTCATTTTGCTGATGTTTTTCATTGAACACGGGTTGTTAAGAGCAAAGCAAAATAGAAAGTGAGTCACTCCTCCAGTGTGAGGACCTAGAGGAAAAATGTCTTTAAATGCATTTGATACAAAATTCAGTTACTTATGAAAGTTATTTGTGGTGCATATCAGTGTCTTCTTTGGATAGCATGTATTCTCTTAGTGACTCTCAGGGCTTCAGTTCTGAATTATATGTAGGTACTCAGATCTTAGTAATTGGAGTCCTGATCTTACACATARTCAGCTTCATATATGGCAGTGACCCGAGGGTCAGTCGTAAAGAACTCAGGCCCTGTTCCTGGCACATTTTYAAGAGCACCCTGGCTGGTATCCAGCATTAAGGCTTCGTAATTTCCAGCTATCTAGTGGCATTTCTGTCCAGAGACATTGGGTGTATCCAACGTAAATTACCTTTTGCTGCTTAGAAGGTAAACTAGATTTGTTCTTCATTCTCTAAGGAGAAAAAAAATTAAAGGGAATTAGAGGGAAACATGGTATATATTCTTCAACACTGTTATGTCAGGAAGTGAGGAAATTTAGAAACAAAATAAATTTAGGTGCTGTTTAGTTTTAGACTTTTTCTGTTTAATTTAAATATAAGTTTTACTGACTATGTTGCTAGCAACTGTTGATCATACACATTTGCCTTCAATTAATAGATTTAAGTCAATTTTGCAATAACCTTTAAGGAAGATCTTTGAGAGTGAGATTTTAGTTGGTATATTAGAACAAAATATAATTCAAGAAAAAGCTACCTGGGAAATAATTTTGAATATGTTGTATATGTTTGGCTCATTTGGAAAACTTAAAAATAAGTTATATCCTGGTTTTGGGCATTATAATTGTCTTATTATGTCTACTGTTTACTTTGCAGGTAAAATATACTCAGGACCATAAACTGATGAAAGGCAGACCAAGTCTGATTTTAGATACACCTGGTCTGAGACATGTTAAAGAAGCACAAAACCATATTTCAATGGTAGGGTAGAACCAGATCACTCTTCCATGACTAAAAGATACTAAGGAACAGCAAGACCAGTATATGGATGGCATTAGTTCACTATTAATTTAGATAACTAATAAAGCATGGAAACTTGGATGAGCCTGCGGGAGGGGTTCTAATCACACTGAAATGTCATGAAAATATTAAGTCTAATAAAATAATTTTTCTCAGTGTCCTTTTTCAATGTGTTTTTATTTCTAACATGAATATTACAAATGCATTTTGCAAAAGACATTTGCCTAACCTTCTTTTTGATTAATTTTAAGATAGAGTTTGGTGTGTTTGCTTGTCATACAGAATGTGAAAAAGATGTTTTTTTTTGACAGTTTCATGAGATGTAATTTATTTACCATAAAGTTCATCTATAAAGTGTTTTATTCAGTGTTTTATTCAATGGTTTCTAGATCATGAAAAATGTAAATGTGCATGTTGCAATGTATGTAATTTGGGTGTATATGGTTACAAACTTTTGTAACATTTTTTTTATTTGTAAATAAAAAATTTGTAACTATGTATACCCAAATTGTATACATCATTATCTGTAAATCTGTTAATGTAATTTTAAACAATACTGTTTTTCTTGAATAATTATAAGTAGCTTTTCACTTTACTGTATATTGAAGGTCAAGAGAGGAAATTAGATCATATTTAAATTAGCGTGTTTTGGAAAGTAAATCAAATTTTAAAAGTATTTATCTTTTACAATTTCTTACAGAAACACATAATTATATATAATTTAAAAGAGACACCAAGCGTAGTGATTAAAAACACGGGGAAAATGTTGGAACTTGATTTCTGATATTGTTTTTAGAATAACTGGAAAAGATACATAAATGTAGACAATAAACCAGATGCAGCTTATGTAGTAACACCAATCATTCTGTAAAAAATTTATTTTTGAGTTAATATTGTTTTTCCTTTTTCAGGTAAAGTATCATGAAGATTTTGAGAAGACAAAAGGAAGAGGCTTCACTCCTGTGGTTGACGATCCCGTGACAGAGCGGGTAAGGAAGAACACTCAGGTTGTCAGCGACGCTGCCTACAAAGGTATCCAGCCTCACGTGGTGGAGATGGACAGGAGACCCGGAATCATTGTTGGTAAGCCCATGGCCTTTCTCAGCAGGTGTGTGGTCAAAAATATTGTATTTGTTCTAAGCACTAGCCTTCTTATTCAGTTGACTTCCTGTCAAGTGTTTGATGTGGTGCCCAATTCAAAATGGACTGCAGGTCAAGTGTTATTTTGGTACCATGTTGAATGGGATTCATGGTATTCACCAGCTATCGTTGCAAATGCTATTACTTGGAAATTCTTTCTTTTCTTGGAAGTCTTTAATAGCTTTCTGGTCTTAAGAATGTTTCTACTTGTTAAACAAAGAAACAACCAAGACATGGGTGAGGGTGATGATTGGACAATTATTTTGTTTTCCTTTGGTTTGTGTCCTTGGTCAAGGTATATAGTACTGTAGACATTGTGTACCTGGGTGGCAGGAAGAACCATCCCACATTTAGGTCCTTTTGCCACAGACATGCCAGAAAGGTTCTGATATATTACATAATATGAATCTTTTGTATTTTAAAAATATTATTTCTAAACTAGTATGATTTGAGAACCATCTGAAAGTCTCATAATTTAAGGAGGGGCCTACTCTTCCTATCTCTTAAATCTCTTAGGAAAAATTCTAGGGGATTAGTGTTGAATGTGGCTTGAGATAGGAACAAAGATCAGATGGAGTGTGAAACAGGGCTATGAAGAAAAATTATTTATTTCTCGATGTATATCAACCACTCTTGACTATTGTCTCCTTCCGATAGTTAGCCTCTGAATTTTATAGATATTTCAACTCTATAGGTCAAAGAATATTTTTGTATCCTTAGTATGTAAATGCCTCTCTGTAATCTCAGTGTTAGATTTTCTTCATCTTTAAAAGTAAGAGTTTGTGTTCTGAAATAGTACTAGTGAAAGGCACTTTAGAGAACAGTTGGGTGGGAAAGTATATATATATATCTATCTATCTTAGTACAAGAGTACTAAGGTCAGGATATGAAGTGATGAGATGATTACCAAATGACTCACACAGAAATATGGCAAACATAATTGTGGGCAATTGATAGCTTGACTTATCTTTCCAAGTTGATTGCTTCAAAGGACTGCACTAAGGTGATTGGATGAATTGTGATCTTTTCATTAAAAGTAACACAGAAACAGGGCATTTCATCCTGTGTATTAGTGTCTCATAAGGGACAGTGCAGGAGTTGATTCGTCTCACTAGGGTAAAGGTTTACCCCAGGGTTCTACAGAGATCTGAGGCCAGGAATAATGATGATGTCATTGCTGAAAACCATGAAACTGTGTAGACCTCAGGCTCTTGGATCCAGTACTCATACCCTTTGAGATAGAAACTATTACTGTTTTTAAAATTATAAGGTATATAACTCTAAATTATTTACTTCCAGGGCACCCCAGAAGTCAGTTTATTTTCTCTGATTGGAAGAATCTCTTTCCATTGAGCAGTTGCCTATGAAAGCACAAAATGAAGTACATTCAACAAAACATAAAACTTTTTACAAGCCAGTTTCTATACCATGCATGCAAATACAGGTTCTGAGACGTTCTGGGTAATGCAGACTAAGCCCATTGTGTGGCTTCTATTTTTGTCAGAGACTGTGCTACTTACTAGTTGCATAATCTTGGACAAGCTACTTAATCTCTTTGTGACTCAATTTCCTCATTTATAAAAGGAGGATTATTGTAGTACATACTTTAGAATATATACTGTGTAAAGGAGTTAGGTTATACCCACAGTAATGCTTGACATTGTGTAATATTAATTAAAACTGACATGCAGCTTTACAATTCTAATTTTTTAAATTTTACTCTAGCCTCATTTTTACCATATGTCTATAACTAGGCTCTTATTTTCCAGGTGTATACCACTGTGCAATTCATTTTAGGACTAAAAGCTCATTTCAGGGGTGCCCTGTGATCAAGGGTAACTCATAAGTTTGGAAGTGAATTGATTTGGATTTTGCCTCCAAATAAAATAGGAGGAGGATACATAGACTTGGACAGTCTCCTCACTAACCAGAGCAGTGAACTGATTTGTGCTTATTGAGAGCCAGAAGCTGCTCTTGTTCATCTTTCTATCCCTCATGATTCTGTGCTGGTCGCCTGGCTTTCAGCACTTTTTGATAAATGATCTTATATGGTTTCATTTACACCCACAGACTCAGAATGAAAACTGAACTTGCCATTATCCACATTCCTAATATATGTCCTTGTTATAGGGAAAGAAATTTTTTGTTAGTTTAGTTTTGTATTAAGAAAAAAATCCTCTCACTCAAACACTTGGCCTGTTTCAGTAGGGCAAGGGTGATGGGGAGTTCAGGGGGCCATAAAGGCTGCATAATTGCCCCCCAGGGAACATGACTTGCATAAAGGGTCACAGGTACCTCAGTAAGCTGCATGCAATATGGCAGGTCCGCGGAGGAACCAGGTAACTTAACTTTGATTGCAAAGTTTCTCAACAGGTACATGTGAAAGTATTGTTCTCCAGATCCTGCAGCACAGTGGATTTGCTTTATACTTTTGCCTTTTGCTCTATTCTCTTTTGGTGCTGGCTTTTAAAATTTCCTTCTTGATTTGTTGATTGCTTCCTCTTGGTGGAAGACCTCAAAGTTTGGCGCACAGATCCTGGCTCCATCTTCGACATCGATCCCCTGGAAGACAATATTCAGTCTAGAAGTCTCCATATGCTCTCTGGTATTGCTCACATTCTGAGTTCCTCTCTTTTTATGTGGTTTTGTCCTGAAAGTGAGTCTACTATGACTGTAGAGTTTCCTTGTAGCAACCGGGTAATGTAAATTTTAAAGTTGAAAATTTTAAACTTCCATAAGTGCTATGCTACTTTAAAATACCATTAATTATTTATGAAAGTAAAACTTGCAAAGTAGCTTTTTAATAAATTCTAGATTTGTTTGTCCTCGATTCATTTAAAAATATGTCTAGAGCTTATTTACATTTGCTTTTGATTAGTGAATATTATTTAATAGGCTTTCTGGGCTTACAAATGCAGTTATTTGGATTGCACCAGGTTTTTATGAAATACACAGTAACAATATTTTAAAGATAGATTTTTAAAATTATATGTGGAACGGTAGAAAGGTTTCCTGTGTAGTGTCATAAATATCTTGAATAGACTTGCAAGAAATTGAAATTTCTCTCTGAGCTTTTTACATGTAAAATGAATAGTTTCCATAGGAAGCTTGGCTTTTCATTTAGGTGGCATGTATATAATGAAAGGAAAAAAATGAATAGTTTGAATATAGTGATAGATGATTTGACATTTCAGACTTTCAGACCATGTTTAGCAAATGAGGTCTGAAAAAGGTTTGACAGCTATACAGTTATTTTATACAATAAAATACCATAGATATATCACTAAAATCTTGCTCTACCCTCTGATTTTACTCTAAATTTAGTTGTTGATGTTAATAAAATTGTGGGCCCAATGTAATGTAGGGATTCTAATACTCAAATAGCTAATTTGATCCACACAGTTAGCTGAACTGTGTCATTTAATATTTCTAAGAMTAAAGAAAAGACAAGTACCACATGCCTGGTGACATTTTTGGAAAGCAATTATTTATAASCAGATGTTATGCTTGATAGAAATTTATTAGTTTGCCAGTGTTTTCTTAGTCCTTGTCAATTTCCTATCCGTTAATATCTCCTTTAAAATCTAGACTTCAAATGAGTATAAATAACCTTTAAGTCATTTATGTAGTAGATTTAATGCATACTGAAGTTTGGGAATAGAAGATTAGAAACTTACTGAGATTTTGGATTATTATTTAATAAGGGATTGTTTTTCTTTCCCACAGAGCTTTTAATTAATGTCATTGTTCTTCAAGTCACTTAATCACATGTCTTAATATTTTCCTTCCAATGTAGAAAAGGCGARTCAATATAGGAGACAGCGGTCTCGATCGCATTCGAGCAGTACTTTTGGTACAGGTCTGGGAGATGACAAGTCCGAAATCTCCGAGATTTACCCTAGTTTTTCAGGCTGCAGTGAGGTCACAAGACCATCCGATGAAGGAGGTATCAGACCTTAGCCACTTACAAAGAAAATTAATTCACTTTTAAAATGTGTTATGAGAGCATTTTTAACATATTTTTCACCTTTTCACAAACATTCAGCTGATGCACTTGAAATCTTAACATTAAGTTTACAAAGTTGAGTCTTTTTAAAAAACTACTAATTTGCATTTTTGCATGTAAGGTTTTTTTTCCTATCTTCACTATTATTACTATACAGGAATTTGTAACCCTATTATAATAGGGTCTTGGGGCTTGCTATGYGTCTGTTTCACAGGAGTTGTATGTGACAGATTTACACAGTCACAATGGAGACTTGAATTCTGAATAGTTTGTATCTGATTTCCATTAAGGAAAAAAAAATCAATCTTACTGTAATATTTGAGTAGCTACGAAATTACCATGAATTGGCGTGTGTTTAAATATTGATATAAATTTGCAGACAGAGGTAGGTCTTGCCAAAAAGAAATTGAGTATGAAACTTAGGATATGAGATTTTTTGAAAATGGAAAATACTATTGATTTTTAATAATCTTCTATTTTCTTTACCCACCCTTTTCCTGAACCTTCTCCTCTTTTCTGCATCCAACCTGGCAGATTAGATCTTGATTTCTTTGGGGTGTTAAAACTGATCCCGCTGATAAAGCTGTTCCTAAAGGATAAAACTAAGTTGCCCCTCCCCTATTGAACTTAGATTTTAGTGTAGTGAGGAGGGGGACAGGCCTGTCAGGCCAACAGAATACCGAATTTCCTTTTTAACCACAAAGGTCAAATTGCTAAAATCCCTAAAGCAGGAGATTTTGAAAATGAGCAGTTTAATGCTAGGGTTGGGGGAGGGGTGGGGGGGCGGTAATAGGAGACTATGAAAGCTCTCGTAATTAGGTAACCAGTTTCTGCATTCATTTCAATGAAACATTAATGAGCTTATATTCTATATATCTCAAATTAAAAATTCGGACTAGCTTCAGCCTTGTAGAAAGTTTTGAAGGTTGTCTTTTCTTTAAATTGTCAAATAAATAGTTGTAAACCAATTTTGCTTTATTGTACTTACAATACCAATGAGAAGGTCTCCCCTTTCAGTGTATGATTTTCTAACAAAAGGTTCAGTAACTTACTGATTTTCTTTTTAAACTTGGTCTTACAGATTTCCCCATTTAGTGTCCTTTGTGGTTTCAGAGGTACAGAATAATGTTGATGCTTGATGAGATAAATAAGCCCCAAGAAAATATACATACTCATTTTATTTAATCAACCTTATTTAATATGACTCTGTTCAGTGTATTGGAGTTGAAATCTTTCCCAAAGGTAATGCACCATAGAGTCTTGGCTTCAATCTCTTACTTCAGGTCTGTATACACCAACACAGTATTTGTCCAGTTATTCTCCAAATGTTTATTGAGTGCTCATGTACACTAGCCAAGAATTTGGGTCTACATTGCTTAGAGCAATGAGCATAGGAGAAATGGACTGGCTATATAGGGCTTTGCATCTGGAGGGGGACCCAGGTAGTAAGCAAATAGTTACCCAAGTAATAAATAATCACAGACAGAGTTCAGGATATGGAGATGGGATGGGGGCTACAAGATGTGTAACAGGACAATTCCATCTGGCTTTGATGTCAGGGACAACTTCTTTGGGGAAGGGATATTTGAGCTGAGAAGTGAATGCCGGAGTTAATTAGGTCAACAGACTTTGTGAGCAGAATGTTTCTGATAGGCTAAGATACCATGACAGTGTGTCATTAAGACATGCAAATRGAGGTGTCAGAGAAGCAATCAGAGTTCAGAGGAGAAGGCCGCACTGGAGATAAATTTGGAAATCATCATCTAAACCTGTGATCTTGATAAGTCTGTGTAGAGAGGGAGAGTTGGAGACATCTCCTGAAGACACCTTAGCAGTCTCTGTACCAGCAGATGATACCAGGTGAGCTCTGATCTCATTACATTCTTTCTTCCAAGGCTGTAAAAACCTATTGCTGTTAGTTGTTTAATGTCCTTTTTCTTTTCTCAAAGCACCATTCCTTTTTTTCTTTTCTTCTCCTAATTATTTCTAGTGAGAAGACTCTATATTAAGCCAAACAGGATGAGAAAACGTCTCCATTAAAAGAAAGTATAGGTGAATCTCTAGCATTTGTATTAGAAGTTGATTTCACAGTTAAGAGGGAATAATTACATTTGGGAGAACTTCAGTCTGTGGAAGGTGACAGGGGCCAGATATTTTTGGCAGACACAGATGACTCAGTGACTCAAAAGACTGCATTGGTGAATTTTTGTCATGCAGAGTCACCTGTTAGAAGATGAAGATGTTCTGACTTCAGTAACAGTTCCTAGTTTTGAGAGTAGATACCGAAGCATGAAGCAGAAGTTGAAATGTACCAGTAAGTTTATAACATCAACAGAGCCATGTGATACCCACAAGACTGTTCATTTGAGAAGAATTTAGGATGTGTGGGTAAATGCTCCTAATTTCATCTATCTGAAGTGAAACAAAGCACATTTATCAGAGCTCACCTGGAATCATCCCATGGCACCTCATGCCTACATTCAAAAGACTAGTGACATAACAAACATAATACATGAAGGCTACCTCCCCCACTCCACCATCCTCCCAGGTCCGTACTTCCCTGGGCTTCCCAGGTCACTAAGTGGTAAGTGAAACTCTCCAGGCACCRAAGTCAACCTCTGTGACATCAATCTCAGCTCTCATGCTTTACTCATACCCACATGGAATCCGTTAACAAATCTCATTGCTTTCCCATGGCAGAAGCATCCAGAATCTGAGTGCTGTCCTTACCTCCATGGTTGCTACCCTCATTTCAGCCATTGCCCTATCATTTGGATGACCTCAGTCCCCTCCTAAATGGTTTCCCACTTCTGCCTTTGCTGCTGTGTGTCCCGGCAACCCCCTACTCTGATCTGTTTTCCATCTGGCAGGCAGAATCATCTTTTTGAAATAGCAAGGGAGAGAGGTCCCTGTTACCCTGCTTAGTCCTTACGTGGGCTCTTTTTTGAATCTAAGAATCCCATGAATACAAAAGCTGATGAATGAGCAAAATGCAAAAAAAAAAAAAAAAAGTTTTATTAAATCTCCAAGTGAAATGACCAAAGCATGAAGCTTTTATCCTTTTTAGACAAAGAACAATACATTTGTGAAGGAATAGCTGGGGATAAATGAAGAGCTGCCCTGGGATAGTAAAATTCTTAGGATGCCACTAGGAGATGAACAGGGGGAGTCGAAGCCAGTGGAAGGTAAGGGTCACTTCAGAGTTTGTCCAGGTTCACTGAAGCCCCAGTTACTGGCATCTGGGGATCAAGGCTTTTTTTTTTTTTTTTTCCAGCGCTGATGTGGAAAGACACCCTTCCCCAAAGCATCTTTAAGGCTTGCCCTTACAGGGAGAGTCAAGCCATCAGGCACTTTGGGGAGTTACAGGTCCCCCAGTGACATCAGCTATAAATAATCAGTATACCCATGAGGCACATTTTGTCTTAACTCCTTCAAAACCCAGGTCAGATATGGCTCTTCTGCTACCATTACATTCTGATAAAACACCCAACTCCTCACCATGGCCTACATGCCCCCTCTTTGATCTTGGGCCCTGTCTACTATGAGGCACTCATGTGCCATTCTGTCACTCACAGGCTGCAGTGACACTTATCTCCTTGCCTGATTCGAACTTTCCAAGGAAGTTCCCATCTGGGGCCTCTACACTTACTGCCTCAGCCCCTCTTCCCTACCCCAGGTATTCGCTTGTCCAGCCCCATTTTTCTTGAAGTTTCTTCTCTGTTGACACTTTATCAGAGATTCTATGTCCCAGAGACCGACAGCACCCTTCTCCTACTATCTGTCCCTTCACCCTGCTTCACTGCAGCTGATGCCACCCGAGACATTGTGTCTTGATGTCTGTGTTCATCTCTCCCTGGCTAGCCGGTAAGTCCTGTTTTGGCAGGAATATTGGTGGTTTTGTTTTCAGTTATGTGTCCAGCTCTTAGAATAAGCACTCATCAAATGCTTGGTGGCAGAATGAAATGGTCAAATTAATATTTTCAAAACACAAACCAAGTTGGACATGGTGGTGCCACACCTGTAATCCCAGCTCTGGGAGGCTGAGGCAGGAGGATCACAAGTTTGAGGCCAGCCTCAGCAACTTAGTGAGGCCCTAAGCAATGTAGTCAGGCCCTGTCTCAAAGAAATAAAAAGGGCTGGGGAAGTGGCTTAGTGGCAGAGCACCCGAGGATTCAATCGAAGTACCAAAACAAATAAACCCCTATGAATACGATGTAAATATATATACTTTTGTGAATAATATTGTCTTATATAAGACTTGGAAGGAAATTCTTACGCTTTTGTTTTGATGATGTTTAGATATGTTTTAATCACATTAAAGCATAGCTTAAAAAGAAAAAAAAAAAACAACCTAAAGTAGAAACATTCCCAGTAGGGTTTTTTACTTTTTAATTTTTCTGGTAGGGAAGAGAAGTAGTAGTATCCAAGACTTTTCAGAGACTTTGAAATGTAGGGTCTCCTTTGAAATGCATGCTCTGGGGCTCTGGTAGGGAGGAGTGGGTGGTATAGAAAGTGACTTTTATGGTGAGGAAGGCTCTTTGATAGAAATCTTTAATGTCTTTAGTAGTAACAGTTAATCATATGCACTTACGTAAACTCTGCCCAAGAAATTGAAAAGTGTTTTTTTATAACAACACTTGTTAGGAGTAAGATGAAGAAAAAAGAAAACATTCTTAAGTATTTCAAAATGCTACGTTTTCTTCTAGATTTTGTGGGTTCCTTTAAATGTGGTTAGGATTTTATATAATAAAATACGTCATAGCCCAAGAAGTTGTCCTTTAAGATTTGGTTGTCTTCCTGCTGTGGAGTGGCTTGTGTGACAATACCAACAGGGAGGTGATCAGGATGCTGAGCAGGGGGAGAGGATACTAGGCTTGAATCCTGACGCTCACTGCTTGGACTAGGTCCACCAGAGGTCATTTGGCCTTATTGGCTCATTT